GAATTCCCAAAAGAGGCTCTCCATTGCATTCGGTCCTCGCCATTCATTGCTAAAAGATTGAGTGTGTCTAAGTGTCTAAGAACCATTCCGAATTGTACTAGCGTAAGAAGATTCCAAAGGAGAAAGACACTCAACATCTGCGGTATGACTGACTCGGGGAAGGTTGTCATTGACAAAAGATTCTAAAAGGGAAGAGTCAACTTTCGTAATTTCTTCAACTTAGTACTTCTTCGGGGCGTGTTCCTCAGACGGCGAAGCATCCTTTCTTCATTTCTCTAATCTTACAAATACACAATTCTCTGCTGCACGTCAAACCCCGCATCCACGACATAATATCGACCATCTGAGACCCGAAAAGATCCAATGAAAGCTCGCGTATGAAGCGAGGCATTGTTGCTAGAGCTCTCCGCACTTACGAGAACATACGAGAAGGTTCTGTCACTTTTGACTGCTGCGAATACATTCTGCATGATATTGCCATTCCGGTCCCTCCAGCGTTGCTGTTGAGATGTACGACGACTAGGGAGACCCCTAATACCGTAGAAAGCAATAGGGAGTAAACAATAAAGATTGGGGAATGAACTAAGATAATTCTTGTAAGAGAAAAGATTGTGAAAGGTTGACTCGAGATGAAATTGTCCTCCAAGCCTGCCTCTTAGGATGCAAGGCTGAATAGCTTAATAACCGCTTCATGCTTGTACTGTTCCGCCATATACAGCGCTGTATATCCATACTGGTCTAGAATATTTGCGTCAACCTTGCCAGTATCGAGAAGCAGCTTAATAATTTCCTCATGCCCATGCTTCGCCGCCATATGCAGCGCTGTTCGTCCATTTTCATCCTTAGCACCTGCGTCAACCTTGCCAGTATCGAGAAGCAGCTTAACAACCGCCTCATGCCCATTCTGCGCCGCTATATATAGCGCTGTCCGTCCATCCCGGTTGCCAGTATCGAGAAGCAGCTTAACAACCGCATTTGCATCCGCTCCCCAACGCAAGAGAGCTTCACACGCCTGAGCATGTCCGTTTTGGGCGGCAATGTAAAGAGGTGCTTCACCCGTTGATTTATTTCTGTCGTTGACCATTTGCCACGCGTCCCTTTGTGTTCGGGCCCCGAGTAGGTCATCTATAGTATTCGTATCTCCTCTTCTTGATGCCAACATGAGATCCATGAATTTGGGCTTCTCGTCCATGTCGTCAGGTAAGCTACCTCTAGCAAGCTTCGGGAAGCGATTCCGATTACTGCTCCGTGTGTGATACTTCGAATTGTGCTTTTGGAGTTCGGCAGAGGAGCTATACCCAACGACAAACATCGGACAACTTTCAAGCAGGCAACAAAACGGACGCTCGTGGCGATTGATGTGCTTTTCTCGTGCTTCCGCGGTCTGCAGATTGCCCTTGAAGAAAATGCACCACGGTTTCGAACATTTTTGCACGTTCAGCGGCCCTTGAAGCTGACTAAGAGGAATCTTTGTCTTTCCGGAGGTGAATGTCTGCTCTTCCAACTGTCCAATAGCCTGCCGGATGGTCTCAGTTCTTCCTTCGATGTTGAAGTAAAGATTCCGCTCAGCACCAAATTCCGAAATGCGGTTGACCACTTGATCCACTTGATCCACGGTTCGAAAATTGCCGTCGTTAACAAGAGTCGACATCTTTGCATGGTCTCCGTACGATTGGAGGAAGAGATAAGCCCGTTGTCTGGCGGTTTGACAGCCAGCGCCTTGTAGCGTGCCGCAAGCCTTGATGCTTTCCCGGAGATGGTCGAGCCAGTACTGCACTGCGTAGTCTTGTAAGGCGTACGAACCCCTTCTAGCGTATGAAATTATCTCATCCTCCGCAATCCCCGGCGCGAAGGGTGGAGATAAAAGATACTGGGAGCAAAAAACTGAGAGTTCCAAGTGCACTGGCGTGGTGTTCACGATTTGTCTCCGTATTAAGAATCTGCAAAATGAGCTGTTAGGGTTGAAATGAGAAATAAGAAACATATCGTAGGTAGTAGACAAATTACTTACTCACGGGCTGTTTCATGTACCAGGTGGACCTCGTCCTCAGGGCCGGTGTAGTCTTTGTTAACAGTGTGCGAGTCCAGGAAAGAGCCACAGAGCCGCTTGTAGCTCTTGACAGGACGGCGATCGAAGTCTACTTCTCCAGTTAACTGATCGAGAGAGAAGAGAGACTGTATTTCCCTCCAAAAGAGGGTCCGCTTGCAACAGACCACATAGCTCAAAATTCTGGTCGCTGCTTTACACTTGCTTTTGGCCCTTGAGGAGTCCTTCTGTAAGCGATGTTCCAATTTTTCGTATCTGACAGATAATGCATGTTAGGTAAATCTTTTGCGAACTGCGTCTGGTCACCAGAAAAGCGGTGATAATGTGAAAAGAGTGAATGACTAACGCTTCCTCTAAGCTCGCCGGGAAGACCCCAGGTTGCAACTCTTGCTTTAGTTCGGCCATAGATGATAGGTCAAGGAGATGCTCGAGAACTAGCTTTGCATAGAGAAACATGCCTGTGCTATGTATGAGTGTCTACCCCAAAACTCTGTATAATGCTTTGCTCAGTCAAGGGGCTTTTACGTACCATCAGCTTTTACTGAAACTAGATCTACTATCTTTTGCTCCAATGATGGTTCCAGCTCATTCTCAAATTCGGTCTGTATGTCCCTTGCAAAGCTTTGGCAATAGTCTTTGATATTTCCAACATGGCCAGGTGCTGTGTCGAGGAGGATTGAATGCGCTGACTTGGATGATTTAGAAAATGGTCTAGCACGCCATCTCGCTGGCCGGAAAAAAGAATTCGTAGGCCAGGGGAATTATCGCAGAGCGCCAGCAGCCATTTGATCGTCCTCTCTTCCTCCTCATTTGCACATTCATCCAGCCCGTCTAGCACGATGTAAGTTGTAGGATAGGTCTCTACTGCGGTGCTTACGAGTTCCTGTAACACTTGCGAGCGAAGTCCATCGTGCTTCGATGTCTGCATTTCAATGTGGGTGGCTAGAACGGGATCTCTATCGTAGAGCTGGCCAAGAAGCGCTCGGAGCAGACCGTTGAAATTATTGTCTTTGTCAGCGTTTTGGCGGCGAAAGTAAAAGTAAGCGAGAGCAACACCTGGTGTCATGTCACTCAGAAGCCGTTCTATTACCGTGGCCATAAGCGTTGATTTCCCTAAGGCAAGCGTCAGCTGAATGCATGATTCTCCTTTATCTGTTTGCGTTTGGGGCGAAGGACTGGGGGTGCGTCTAAAGCTCGCAGGGAAGATCATACCTCCACCTGGCCTCCCGTGTATGTAGAGGACTCGTTTCGCAGAAGCAGCACATTGGTGCCAAGCCTGGAATATGGGATTGTCGAATATCCATGTTCCTGAAGAAATCCCCAGTTTATTGTTTGAGTCGTCTCTGCAATCAATGAAAAATCGGTAGTCAGACTTGTAGTCTGGAATGGACAACCTCCCCATGATTGCTCTCTTTCGCTCTTCGTGCGTCTCTTCTTCTTGCTTATCTGCTACCTGCTTTTGGCTGGTGTATACTTCGCGGATCTCGGCTCGCAACTTGATTATCTGGTCAAGAGAAGCGGATAGCTTTTCGCTGTTCAAAATCTCCTTACGTCTTGTTAGGGCCTGGAGGATGACAGCAAATTTCGATTCAAATCTTTTCCAGGCAGCATCGACCAGAATCTTCCATTCTAGAATTGCGAAAGGTTAGTGGTTTGAGGCCCCAAACGGAGAAGGATAAAAGAATGGCATACGAGGTCGGTCAAATACAGCAAGCGCCTCCTTATGGAAATTAAGCACGTCCAAGTAATAATCCTCAAGAACGGGTCCGAGGCGTGTGTTGCGCTCGAAGGTTGCCTCATAGTGCACCAAGCCTGCGAGATTCTCTTCAATATCACAGTACATATCCAAGAGTCTGTCAAGCGATTGAAGGTGGGTGCTGGCGGCCTATGGATAGGAACATGGCTGTGAGTTGAAGCTCTCCATAAATGAGGTAGTGAGGAGTATGGGGGTAGAGATAAGTACTCACACCAAGCAGGAACTTGATGGGTCCCTGTAACAGGTAAGTCTATTAGGATGGAACACAGTAACGAACAAACAGGCAGGATGATGCTCACCCAGATGTAGCATAGGAACACGGTAGTGTTAGTAAAGACCTCAATGACTTTGCCGAGCTCCTTCATGGCCTCAAGGAAGGGTTCAAGACGCTTGAGATGGCGCATTTCCCCCTTTATCTCTTGTTCGGCTTGAATCTTCTTCATCAACAACTGAACATCCTGCAGTGAACAGTTGGAAAACTCCTGGGCACGTCTTGGCCCAACATCCCTTTCGAATCTGGCCAAGGCGCGTCTGAAGCTCTCTGATTGTGGCAGCATTTCAGCCGTTGCATGCCGATTGCTGGAGCGAGAGTAGGTGCACCGTCGAAAACTTGATCAATCTGGGCGGAGAAGCGGATAGAGATAATCAGAGGATTTGAAGAATTTCGGAAAAGTGGTACTGTAGCGCTTCATGAAATTCCTTCACGACAGGAACTGAAGTGTGTCCCACATCCGCCTGTAGATGAATTGTGACGTGGACGTGCCACGGAGCAGTGAGCGGCAGTGAGCCTGACAGTCAGCCAGAGCCCCCGACTCGTTTCACAAGAAGCCACTGAGCCACAGGCAGTGCCGCAGCGCAGCCAATGAACAACGATTGCATCAAAACACCCACGGGTACTAATAAAAAGAAGACAAGGCGAGCCAAACCAATGGTGGGAACTTGGAGAGGTAGTTAATTGGAGGATGAAAAGAGAAGAAGATTGGAGGGAGAAAGCCCCGCAGTCCGGCGTAACTACATTTCAGTCTGTTGGTTGTTTTGTGCATCGAACCTAGGTACTTTGTATCATTTCAGGCCTCAGGGCATAGATACCTTCACTTCACGCCCACCATTTCAGCACAAACCGCCCGCGATGCCGAAGCTGGGGCGCAACACTTCCTCTTAGCAACTTCTTCCATGCCTGCTCGAAATACTCAGGGAGACTTTTTCACAGCAAACATCGAACGCAAAGATCTGATCGACGGACCTGGTACACATAGGGAGTATTCTATCCCGCCAAGGCTTGGAGCTGGGCCCTGGCTGTCGCGAATCTCGAGTCTCGACAGCATTGCAAAGCACTGCCCCAAAGTCTCGGTGGATGCATCGTGGACAAGGCCACCATCACACGCCCAGGTACTTCCTAATCTGGACTGGAAAGATGCCGCCATCCCAAGCCAGGCGGCCAACTCACCTAACGAGAGTCGCACAACATCCTCAATCTTGATCTCAGAAGATGAGAACGAATTGTTGATTTTCCCTCATTCGCCAAGGACCTCGTCGTGCCCCCCATTCGCTAGGCGGTATGGAGTGTCCAGCCTCCTTATACAGCGTTTCCTGGCAAAGAAAACCGCACGTGCGCGTTGCACCCAGCCCCGAGACAATGCCAGCTAGAACTTCCATGAGACTTGTACTGATTCCTCCCAACTTCTCTTATTTTCCTTCTTGCCCAGCTCTCTGCTCTCCAGGTGTTGTGCCTAGCCTCTTTGACATATTTGTAGCTTTCGTCCTCTGCACTCATCAGTCAATGTGAAGAGCTCTTTCAAACCACATTGAGCGCGTCATGTTGTATGCCAATCATGATACCTACGACCTCCGGCACGAAACGCCATCTTTCAAGTGCTGTTGAGGAAGCCGAAGTTAGTGACACCATCGACCCAACATCTGGCATTGGTGACAGGATCTGCTATGGCGCGGTAAGTTCTTCCGAGTTCCGTCCTATAGAAGCTTTTCTCATAACTTAGCTTCCATTTAACATTTGACTGTCTCTACCCACCAACGCCCTGAAACTGACTTGACATTACGCTTTTAGTTATATGCCGCGAGGGCCCAATGTATCAACGGGTTGGGCCCGCTTGAAGACCAGATCAAGAATAACAATAACGACGCATTGTTTATTCATTTTCCCGTAAACAGATGGCAAGGCTGCTTCTGTCTGTTTTTGGAGAACGGGACGGCATTCGCTATTGCTGACCAAGTCACGCAGGACGCATTGGCCGCACTATGTCAAGTGCCTTGTATTCGATTCGAGGCTGTGTTTGGTACAACAGTCCTCTCGAAGCGGAAAAGGGGTCTTACTGAGAAATCTCCTGTGCTGGAGGACATCTCAGTCAATATCTTTGGGCCCCATGACAGTGTTGCCGAGAACGAAGTCTCCAAGCGGTTGTCAAAAGTCTCCGCATTTCTTCAACATCCAAAGGCTTTGAGGTCGGGATTAAATACCGTAATCCGCAGTACTTTGTGGTACCCGGGGATGAAATCAATTTCAACGATCTAGTCGGTGTGAGCAATCACTCTTTAGGGCCGGCCAATCTCAGAGCTAGAGTTCGTGGAGAGGTTGACAGCATCCTTGAGTCTTTGAACGTGGTCTCTGTTAAAGAGGTGACTCCGCTCGTACACTCGGACAGTCTGAAGGCCAAACTTACAAGGCAGGTGCCGTTTCATTATCGTCACGTTCAATCTTAGTAATACGCAGAACACCTAGAGGGCCCCTTTATGCTAACTTACCTTATACAGTCACCAAGAACAAGCTGTTCGCTTCATGCTTGATCGCGAAAATGAGAGCCTTTCGGATAATGGCTCTTTATATGACACTTATTTGTCACCGTACGGCAAAGCCCTTTCCCAATTAGCCTTCCCAAACGTTAACTAACAACGTTTAAGTTCAAGTCAGCTTACACCTAACTATGGCGGCCTTATCGCCGACGTGATGGGGATGGGCAAGACCCTCAGTACACTTGTCACCATCCTACATACGTTGGGATCTGCTCGTGACTTTGCCGACTTCAATTTTTCTCAGGCTGCTCAAGAAACACCTACGAGAGCCACTTTGGTTGTCGTACCCTCACGGCGTAGGTTCTACTCAGAAGTTTTGCGGATTTAAAGCTCATAGCTGATTGCATCTTTTAAAGAGCTGATTGATAACTGGAAATTCGAGATTGAACGGTACGAGTCCAGTCCTTCTCGCCACACCTTTCGACTGACAGGCTAATGCAAAATTACCTCTATTTCTAGTCACATGTGTGAAGCTCTGCACGTCACAGTATTCCATGGGGAACAAAAGCCTCAAGGATGCAAGCCTCTCATAGACACAGATTTGGTTCTCACAACATACTCCACACTTGCGTCCGATTATAAGAAAAGCGGTTTACTTCATAAAATGGAGTGGTACAGGGTGGTCCTTGACGAAGGTAAGATCAAATCTTTTTTGCCGTTGGGCACCGAAATTGCGGCTAAAGTAACTCAACATCGACGTATTTGACAGCACATGAGATACGAAACTCTTCCACCCACTACTTCCGAGCCGCTTCAACTCTCAATACCAGCAGACGGTGGTGCTTGACAGGCACACCCATCCAGAACAAGTTAGAGGATCTCTCATCCCTTGCCGATTTCCTTCGGTTACCGCCCTATTCTGCGAAAAACTCATTCCGAAAGTATATTCTGGAACCCCTCTCCAGCGGAGGCATGTGCGACTCTCAGCCATTACGAGCCTATCTCCGTCGGTATTGTCTTCGCCGAACGGATAAATGCCTCGATCTTCCCCCATCAACAGCTACGACCATCTATCAAACTCTGTCTGACCAGGAGCAGAAGCTGTATGATGCCATTTTGAGCAGGGCAAAATGGGCTTTGGATGACATCGTCAGTGGCAACGATAAAGGTGCCCTCAAGCTGTACAACGTACTATTCACTGCCACCTTGAAGATGCGCATGGTATGCAATCATGGAACCTTGAGCCCTCCATGGGCCTTTATGGGTTACCTTGCGCCGCAGGACAGGGAAATTGACGCATCTTGTGAACGATGCTCATCATTAGATGAAGGCTGCGAAGATATTCAGTTCTGCCCAAACTGCCGCCGTCCTTTTCGTGCCAATAGCCCATCCGTAAGTGCAGGCAGCCCTAACCCAACATGCTGGTTAGGGGATGGCATCATAGATGCGATTGATCTCCATGGCTCGTTGCAAACAGATTTGTTCTCAACGAAGCTCAAAGCTGTGAGAAAGCAAGTACTTGAGGCTGGGGCGGGCACCAAGCAGTAAGTGTCATGATGCCTATTGGAACCCGACTGGACATTGCCAACTGACAAGAAACTAGCCTCATCTTTTCTCAATGGATACCTACTCTATACGGCCTCGTCCATATATTTAGAGACGCAGGGGTCTCTACGCTTCTTATACATGGAAAAACAAGCACCTTAGAACGAACAAGACTCATAAAGACCTTTCAAGAAGACTCTCAAGCGTCCGTTCTTATCATGTCTGTTGGCACAGGGGCAGTCGGGTAAGCCACAACGCATCTCTTCCATATTTTCTCCATCTTAAAAACTTTGCTAATATCTGCAAAAGGCTCAACCTTACAGCGGCGAGTCACGTACACGTCGTTGAACCGCACTGGAATCCTTCAGTCGAGGCACAGGCCATCGCTAGGGCAATTCGCATGGGCCAGATGAAAAATGTCATCGTGACGAGGTACATCATGAAAGGAACAGTGGAAGAAGTAAGCCACACGTACAATGTCCCAACGGTTTTACTTACGACAGCGTTACTAATGAGAACCGAAGAGCATCGTTGCATTACAGACCAAGAAGCAAACCCTCGCGAAGTTGACATTCGACACCGGTAATGGAGTTAACGAGAACCTGGAGGTAAGATGACCGCCAATCCAGACTCAATTCTAAAGGATAGTACTTACAACCTACTTCTACAACTACAGGACTTCAAAGCCGTGCTAGGTGTTAAAGTCGATTAGTGCCACTCGCATACGCACGCACGTCTTTGACTCGAAGGTCGAACAGTTGGGGTGCGAGTGAGACCTGCATAGGTAATATTGATATCATTCATACTTCATAATTCCGAACAAGCGACCAGAACTTGGGGGGATGGACAAAATAGATACCTTATAGATCATGTGTAATAAAAAGGGCGTAACACAGTCAAAAGAAGAACTTTCAAACTCTTCCACTCTTTGCATCTGTGTTTGCATATGCAGACCGAGTGGAATTGGCGTTCGAATCTCTTTCTCACGGTCACTGTTGAAAAGGCCACCAGAAAATGTTACGCGAGTTGGAGGGATCTTCGTAGCGCCGCACCTGGCATCAAGCCTGATGTCAGCGTGCCACATCAACGTTTCGTCTTTCAAGGATCAAATGCAGCTTTGATGCTGCAATGGAGGACATGCCAAAAAGGCAACCAGAGGGTTCACTTCGGGTAGCGTTTGTTCTGATATCAAGGCTTCCAGCCTCGCTTCGAGCCAAGCCCCATACAAGTATGCCAGGGGGGCGGGGGTGCTGACACGGGCCCCCACCCAGGCTTAAAGCCATCCACCCTAGCTGCCGGTTTCTGATCCTAGAACTGTGGTTGGCTTGTCGCTCTCAACGCCGCCGTCACCTTGTTTCGCAGCCCTGGCATGCAGCTCTCTCGGCCAATCGACCTGTCTACAAAGTTGTTGGCGGCTGCGCCGGCAGTGTGTTGCAAGCCAACATGGTTATGACACGCCAGGATGGAAGGGAAGAGGTAGGCTAATGCAGGAAGATGAAGAAGGTAGGTTAAGGCAGGTAGATGAAGGAGGTCCATCGTGATCAGTTTGTCGTAGTGGATCACCAAATCGTGATTCAATAAGACAAGAGCGAGAGATTCGCTTGCCACGCTCTCATCTACATACACATAACTGGGCCGAGAAGTACTAGGAACCAATTAGGAATGGTCTTCTTACCGAGTGCAATCTTCTTGTTACCCGTGTAAAAGATTTAGCCGCAATGTCGGGACGGTCGACTTTTTTCGTAATCCGCTCAATTATATTCATCTTTTTAGCGCCGGCTCCCCACTCACCGTGATGCCTCCGTCAGAACGATATGGAATGGGAGGTGGACGTTCAGTTTTTTGACCCTACCACGTGATTAAAAGACCCGTTTCATGTCCTTCCCACTCCCATAGACATGCAGACATAACGCCTGACTAGTAGTTGGATCGGTGACGACCAGCGAATCCCAGGTGTTGCATGTTCTTTTTGGCGATCTTTTTGGGGTGTTTTGGTGGTTTGCTTATCTTATCGGCCTTATCGCGCTTATCAGTCTTGGCGGGAATCCCGCCGCGACCTCCAAGTTCGAGGCTCTCTCGTCCCCAATCCCAACATCGTCACCATGAGCCAGCACTAAGGGATTCACGTCTGCGTGGACATCCGGAAACAGATATCTCGCAGAGGGCGAGCAGGTATAAAGGGACTACGGGAGAACTCAGATTGTCAGATAGTTCGACAGTAGTCAATAGATCATTATCACCGAGACCAGTATTACGAGCATACTTGTTGTGAACCCTTTGGCTTCACCGAACGACTCTGATAGTTACTACCTTCAGCTATCTCATTTAGGCAGATCAGACTGCCGTTCGTCACACCGTTCTTTTGCAAAAAAAATCAAAAAAATCCTAGAATTCCAAAAGAAATCATGGAAGTAGAAATGATAATAAATAAGTCATTTTTTAAAGTTGTATTAATTTTGGACTAGTGTAGAAGGAGACAGAAAGAAAAAAGTTTCAAAACTACACCTTTGGCTGCATGGCTATTGAAATTCATCGTGCACAAAGTGGTGGTCAAGGTTGCACTAACAGCTTTTTTTAGTGTTTTAGCGCCAATGTAGATTGTCCTATGAATATTGCGCTGTCCCGGGAATTTTTTTCCCCCTCTTTTATAAGAGGGGGTTGACGAAAGAGTCCCAGGCAGCACTACAACCCCCAAGCACACCAAATGGACCGTGTTCCTGCAAAAGAATACAAGTAACCGAAGTTGGCAATTCGGTTCCTCAAAGTGGCTTATAAGGTTGCGACGGCGCATACCCTGGGTGACCAAACCAGGCGGATGCTTCAACCGTCACAACAACTCATCTCTTTAAATAGCTAGGTAACTAAGAACTACCAAGTAGAGGTAATAACATTCGTCTCTCGTTATTATCAATGTATGGGGCGTTGACACCTTGGCCAAGAAGCCGCCCAATGACATGTCAATGGTGAAGACTACTTACTGAATTTGCCTTTGTCGCTTAACGAAAACCCAGGCATTGAACATCAACAGGACCTTGTGTCTGCATATGTAGCGGACGAGAGGAACAAACACAATACTAATCCAAATCGAAAATCCTTTTATAGTACCTAGTAAGTAAGAAAAGCTTCATAAACGTACACACATAGACATACTATAATTTCCCAAACCACCGAAAAAGTATGCAGTTTTTTTCCTTCCATCCTTTCCGGCATCATTCTTCATTCTCATTTTATCCATGTATGCATGCCATTAATTTGATGATTGATGACTGATGGGTAATGCTCATAACATTCCCATCTTCTCTCCTCCACCCAGCTTCCTACGCCTATCCTGACCTCGCTAGCACTCGGACAGAAAAGCCGCTTAAGCGATCTCAAACATGGACTTCATCTTGATAATCAGCTGCCACTCGTCGTTGGTCACGTCCTTACGGTAGAACTCCTTGAGGCAGTTGATGGAGGCACGCGAGATCTTGGAGTAGAGCATGTCCTTCTCCTCGAGGTGGCGGCCGTACGTGGGCTGGTTGCCGCCCATTTCGATCTTGATGGCGACGGAGGGTTGACCCTTCTTGCAGACGGGGATCTGCTTGTGGTCACGCTCGATGGAGGTACTAAAGTTGAAATGTTAGTAAATGACCGGTAAAGAAGGGGGATAAGGGAGGAAAGGAGAGGGAAAAGGGGAGGAGACATACACTCTACCGAGATCAATAATCTCCTTGGCACCGGTAACGGCGTTCTGCCTGACGGCAGAAATGGGCGTGTTGATCCTCAGCGAACCATCAACGACATCGACACCGATAACGATGGGGCCAGACTTGTTGAAGACGGCAACAGGGCTGAGCACGCAGGGGAAGACAGCGAGCATCTTGGACTCCTCCTTCTTCTTCTCGAGCAACTCATCCATATGCTTGTTGAACGAGTCGAACAGGTGGTAAATGATGTCGGCAGTGAAGATCTTGACGCCCTGCTGGTCGGCATACTCCTGCGCTTCCTTGTCGACCTTGACGTCGAAGCAGAGCATGACTGCATAATCGGGCGCCTTCTCCAACATGATACCGCACTGCATGACGTCGCGCTTGTAGACGGGACCGATACCGACGTTGGCGACGGGAATCTTGCAGTCCTTGAGGAAGTCGAGCAAGGCCTCGAGCGAACCAAGGGTGGAGGCCTGGACGGAGACACCACGGCCGGATTTCTCGACACGGCTGAAGAGCGAGGCAAGATCGGCCTCGACCTCGTCCTCGAGATCGTCCTCGTCATCGTCGGGGCCGACAACAAGGAGACGGGAACCAGCAATGGCACCCTCGAGACCGGGGGCAGAGATCTTGACACCCAAAGCGGCCTTGACCTCCTTGTTGTGAACGTACTGCGACTTGAGACGCAATTCCCTGAGCGGCGCGGGCGTGAGCAGGGCTCTGATATTTGTTTTGATGACGCCTTCTGTACCACACAGGATAATGCGGTCACCCTCCTTAAGGATACCGTTGGTGAGAATGACATCGATGGTCATACCGAAACCCTCGATGGCCTTGACTTCGAGGACGGTAGCCTGGACCTCGGAGAGGTACATGAGAGAGCCAACCATGCGCTCCTGGGTGAGCTGGACGATGAGCTTCAACATGTCGGGGATACCCTCACCAGTGTGGGCGGAGGTGGGGATCAAGGAGACGTATTTGGCCATGGACTTGTTCTGATAGAAAAGCTCAGAGTTGAAACCCTGCTCGGCGAATGCGAGCTTGGTCTGCTCGAGACGGTTCTTGAACTCGTTCTGAACAGCCTTGTTCTGGAGGGCCAACGATTCCTGGAAGCCGTTGTTCTCTATTTTCTTCCAGCCGTAAAGACGATCGATCTTGTTGAGAGCGACGATGAAGGGCGTCTTCCTGTCACGGAGAAGCTTCATGGACTCAAGAGTCTGGGGCTCGAGACCGTGCATGATATCGACAACCAAGATGGCGATGTTGCAGAGCGACGAACCACGCGAACGCAAGTTGGAGAAAGACTCGTGACCGGGGGTGTCGATGATAAGGAGACCGGGAACCTTGAACTCGAACTTTCCGTCGCGGTTGACGACCGCAGTCTTCTGCTTGATGGCCTCAACGGGGAAGTAAGTGGCACCAATCTGCTGAGTGATACCACCGGCTTCGCCCTCCTGGACGTTGGTCTGACGAATCTTGTCGAGCAGCTTCGTCTTACCGGTATCGACGTGACCAAGAATACAGCAAATGGGCGAGCGAAGGTTGTCCGCAGAGCGGGCCGCAAGAGCAGCCTGATGGGCCTTCTCACGACGCTCAGCGGCCTCTTTCTTCCTCCTGGCCTCCTCCAGTTGCCTGGCGGTGGCCTCCTCATCGTCGGAAGACTCATCCTCAGACTCTTCCTCGGAGTCCTCCTCAGAGTCGGACTCGGACTTGTCGTCCTTCTTGGCGTCAGCCTTGCCGTTGGCCGCGGCAGACTTAGGAGCATCCTTCTTGGAGTCCTCCTCCTCGTCGGAGTCGGCATCCCAGCTGTCCTTGACATCCTCCTTGTCAGAGGCAACAGCGGCCTCCCAGTCCTCGTCAACGCTCTCCTCAGCAGCGGCCTTAGCGGCAGCAGCCTTGGCAGCAGCCTCCTTCTCGGCCTTCTCGCGCTCGATGCGGGCCTTCTCCTCTTGCTCCTTGGCAAGAGCCTCAGCGGCGAGTCTTGCGCGCTCAGCAGCCTCGGCGAGAGCCTTCTCTTCGTCTCTCTGTAACAAGCAAGCTAGTTAGCGCTGTCCATAGCGTATCATGGTAAGAAAAAGAAAAAAAAGAAGAAAAAAAACTCCGAGAAAACTCACCTTCTTGTTAGCAGCCTTCTTCTTCTTATCGTCGTAGACAGGCTTCTTCTTGGGCTCCTCACCCTCAAGCGCGTTGACCTTGATACCGGCCGCCAACATCTGCTGGAGCTTCCTCTCGTTGCGGGCCTTCTCTTCCCTCTGGGCCTTGGTCATGAACTTGCCCTCCTTCTTGAGCTGCTCGATCCTTTGCTTCTCCTTCTCCTTCTTGCGGGCGCGCTCCTCCTCCTTGCGCTTGGCCTCCTCGGCCGCAAGGCGCTCCTCCTCCTCTATCCTGGCCTTCTCCTCGGCGAGGAGTTTAGCCTCCTCCTCTTGGCGACGGCGCAGCTCCTCCTGCTGCTTCTGGAGGGCGAGCAGGTGGGCGGGGAGCTTCTTCTTCTTGCCACCGGCGGCTTCGGCGGCGGGAGCGGGAGCCGGGGTCGAGACGGGGCTGGGGGTTTCGGCCTTCTTCTCCTCCTTCGCGGCAGGCTCGGCCTTGGTGGCAGCGGCGGGTGTGGTACCCTTCTTCTTAGCAGCAGCCTGTGTGGTGTAAAAGAAGTTAGTCAGTCTTTCGTTATTCCTAGTATATAGCCACTAGTGGTAAAATAATGACTACTCACCTGCTCCTTCTTGCGCTGCTTCTCGCGCTCCTTCTTGAGCTTCTCCTTCTCGGCCTTGGTCAAAACCCTAGGGCCATCCTCATCGGCGGCGTCCTCGTCCTTCTTGGCGGCGGCGGCGGCGGGAGCAGCCTTCTGCTGCTGCTGCTGCTGCTGCTTGCCCTTGCCGCCCTTGCCCTTCTTCTCGGGGAGAGCGAACTCGTCGTCGAGGTTGGCCTCCTCGGCGACCTTGGCGGAGAGATCGGGGACGGCCTCCTCAGCTGGCTTCTCGGCGCCGGGAGCGGTCTCACCGAGCTCGGCCTCCCAGTCGTCGACGATGCCCTTCTTCTTGCGCTTCTCCTTGGCCTTGCGCATTCTCTCCATCAGACCGCCACCACCGGAAGCGTCCTCATCGGCGGCGGGCTCGGCGGCAGCATCGGCGGCAGCGCCGTTGTTGACGGGGGCGATGGACTCGCCCAGCTCGGCCTCCCAGTCATCGTTGGCCTTCTTGTTTCCCTTTTTCTTGGGCGCCATGTTGGGCTGCTGGTAGTCGACCGGTAAGGCGGGGAATACCTCGAGAAGCGGATGTCGGTAGGATGAGGATGAAGGGGGAGAGGATCCTAAATGGGCTCCTTCTCTCTTCCTTGTGACGAAGTCGACGCAGTACGGTAACGGGTGAAGACCTCGTTACTCGTTAGGTGGTTCTAGTGGTGGGTTCGTGGGGCCGCAGACTGGGGCTACTGGGCCGTTATATGCGATATGGCTGGCTGCTAAACAGGCAAGCGGCGTTCTTTTTTGGTGCTGTAGGCCCTGTCGAACGGGATAGGGCTTGTCACTTTTCGGTGCTGCAGTGTGGATGCACCGTGGATCTTTTTATTCTTTGTATTGAGGCTTGGTAGAGGTCGGTCACAGGTATCTCGGTACCTGTACTGGCTGTCTACCTTTTGTGCTTCTTCTTTCAGCCCGTGTTGAGTGCTTGATATTGTCTCCTTTTACGGTCAAAAACAGCAATCATGTCCCATTTTCTGATTCGATACCAAGTGGTGGAAGTCGCGAATGGTAAATGAGTCTCGATCGAGAAAAAAATTCTAGACAAGGATCGCCACTGGAACCTTTTTTTTGCCAGAGCTCGGGCTTTTGACATTTATTGCACAGACAGTTGGAGAGACTGCAGACAGACGACCACCGTGCTGAGCACTGGGTGACACGGGACGACAGCTTCAGGATTTTTTCAGTGGTGCAAAAGTTCCTACAGCGGCAATTTGTTAGTGCAGAGATGCGGGGCAACTGTTTGCTTCGGGCAGTTGGTCGCACTGGGCGATTATGTTCGGATTAAATTCAGTATTTACTTACAGCCAATTTTGTGCATTTAATGTGATATTACTCGCAAGGGGCAGGTCTAATTCAACTCGGGAACCGTGGACAGTACCTTTATAGCACCCTCAACTTGTCAAGCATATTGCCGTACTGGTCCAATGAATCATTCACGAGGCTGAATCTAAGTATGTCATGCTTACAATGTTGCTTATTTATTCATATGCTTTGGTATGACAACACCAACAATATCCTTCGGGCTTCTAGGCAGATGCTAGGTCATATGTTGGTCACCAGTTATCCTGCCCTTCCATGTTTTTCTTCCTTTCCCTCTTATCGGGATCTCAAGCAGCTAATAGACTTGCCTGAGATAACACATCAACACGTTATAAGCCAGTTCAAAGTAATGGTCCGCAGTCCCCTGTCCCTTCCATCCGGAAGTATATATTCCCAAATCCAAGTTATCCAGCAGGATCCTGAACTGTCCCAACAGCTCATCGGTGTTCACCAAGTCCTGCAAGACTTCTGCATCCAAGATGGTCTTCAAAAGATCGCCATCCACATGCATCTGCCCAATGTATCCCGGGTCCGGCTTCTCGCCCAGAAGCCTTTCTTCGTCCCTCCTCTCCCTGAGGTTGTATAAGTTGACGATGAATCGCAACAAACGAAATGCGTGCTGGTCAAGCAATGTGAAGTGAATCATGGTGCCGTCAATCGAGATTCCTAAGATCTCGCCATTGTCCGGTGTGCTGATAAGCCGACCGTACTTGGGTACGTTCCACACTCCTTGCTCCCATGTTGGCCGTGTCCTGCCGCGGCGGAGCTTCCTGATACTAACTGGAAGTTTCCCCTGGAAGAGCATCTTAAACTCGGCCCAGTTATGAGTTCCTGATGCTCTGGGCCATTTCCAAAGGCCGGCCACGCCACGATCTCTGTCAGTAACCAAACACATGTCGTCTTGGACTTTCATAAACGAAGTTGGTGTAACCTCGCGAGGATCATGGAACTCGACTGTTGCAGAATTCTCACTGACGTCGTCAAGCGCCGGGTCGATCAGCTGGAGTGAATCGTCCCACGTCAAGGCGAGAAGCTTCGTTTCGGAGATTTGAAGGTCCAGGGCCAACGACTCCAACTCAAACGTTTTGCGTGGTTTCAGCTTCTTCTCGACAGGGTCGAGTACATCCCAGTGAAGTATATTGTCGACGCAATAGATCACGCTTTCCTCATGACCTATCACTGAGTACACCGGTCCTTCGCAGGACTTCTTGTGCCGTGTCCAGTACTTTATCGAAGGGGGGCGGCCCCCTTCCAATGGCTCCTTTTCCGTGGACACGATAATGAGCTGGCCATGTTTGGTACCGACAAGCAGATAGCGCCATGTCCCGCCATTTTTCTTGTATTCCCATTCTGCCAGGCCATGGATTCTGTCCTCGGATTTGCCCAGTCCCACGATATGCTGAACTGGAGTTCCTGCTTTGTCGATCGGTTTTCCGATGTCCTCTCCGGTGTCAGGGTCCATAAACATCAACGTGGTCTTTTTTCCCTCATCGTTAACACCGACCACCAGGCTACGTAGGCTGGGCGAGTAAAACGTCTTGACTGGTGTCTTTCCGATTTTGATATACCGATGGGCTAGACCGGGCTCCTCGTGTAGCTCGGCAATAATCACGCTCGGCCCCGCTAGCATGAGAATCGGAGTAAAGCCTTCACTCGCACATGGAATGTCAATTGCCATGCCGTACTCAACAAGTGGCATAGGAGCACCCAAATTGCCGGCGTTAGTAGGTAAAACACGGTGTTTTGTCATGTGATAGACAGAACCGTTCGGCCCATGTTCATCGAGTTGTACTTCAATCAAGGCTTGATCGCACGAGACCAGTACTCTCGGTCTGCTGGTATGCGAATGGCGGGCCGCAGTAATTTTTACTGCGGTCAGTCCTATTTGCTGGTAGTAGACCATTGTAGTACTCTTCCATTCTTTCGAAATATGAATGAGCTCACCACCTCTGGTTCCTAGAAGTATCGCGTTATTAACAGAAGCCGATACTTCCAATTGCCTTGGGAGGCATGTCATTTTGATATCCTGTTTCTCCAGGCGTCGACTTGAGTTCTATGAACCCGTCAGTATAATGGAAACTGCAGCACAGTGTAGCAAAATGCAGCAGGAGCTAAGCCGTACTCTGTATGCTGGGTCAACTTACGTTCTGCGATATCAATTTCCTCGACATCTCGTGAACCTGTCTCAGTCGTTGGGGTACGGATTTGCAAATACGGCCGTCCGTCCTTCCAAAGACCGACGATGATCCCAAGGTTCTTGCTGTGGTGTATCGAAGTCACGTCCCCAGATACGTCGAACTGAACCTGAGAGACGACTGCGGTCCCATAGAACTTGAAGCTGTAAATTCTGAACTGCGGCCCAACATGCGTTGACACAGTGATCCAGTCATCCGTAATGCAAGCGTCAGAGACTGATACGTGCGGCTGATCCTGCAGAAGCTTGTCAAAAGAAAACTGCTTCCTGTGATATTGTTAGAGCAACTCATACCAAGTGGGCTCAGTAGTTTCGTACCATTCGTCTGTAATATACCGGACCTCGTTCTTGAAGATTGTGATTGAGGCTGTGGTAACTTGAACAGTAACCCCATTAACCTGCGCTACTGCCAAAGTTGGCGAAAACAAGTCGTAAAGGATCTGGTCTGGTTCCGGATCTGTCAGATCTGAAAAATCTTCTGGCAGTTCTCTAACCTGCGAATGAATAGGGGTAGTCCACAGTAGGTCGTAACGTCCATGTGTATTCGAGAAATTGAGAAGCCAGGCTTGTTTCAGCCCATCCCCAATTTCGAGCTCCAATCCAATGTCTGCTTTCAGTCCATGCCGGTATTCAGTAATGCAGCCTGTTAGTCCATGACCAGAGGCTGCAAATATCCTGCCAGGTGCTCTGAGCTCGGAAGCCTTATCTCCCGAAGAGTCAGTCACCGCAAAGTCCAGGGTGGGGGGCACCACTAGGTAAGGTGCCTATCTGCAATGGATGATCTCGTGGGGGGATCTAATATAAGGTCAGTCAAAGACACCAAAGGTAAAGGCGAGGCTAGTTCCGCAAACCTTCCAAACGCTCCCCGTGCCGTTATCGCTGCCCAGCACGAGAACATCTGCGTACTGATCAAACAAGTAGGCAAATGCAGACGAGATATTGCACTTGAAGGCATCAATGAAGGTCGAGCGCTCCAACGCATGGTCTTCATCAACTTCGATGTAGACAACAATGCCGTCCTCTCTGGCAAGGTATAAGCAGTCCTTGCCTTTGAGATACCGTGGCAGCCTATACGGTCTATCCCAAGCTGTCCATAATGGGTTTCCAGTACCGTAATGATTCGGACTCTTTGGAGGTGCGTCGAGCTCCAGTGACTCGAATATAGGCGGGCCATGCAAGGATTCGGTGCACACAGCAACCTGTTCTGGGGAAATGGCGATGAAAGCTGACCCGACGGTCAAGGGAATGAGGAGTTGAGGCATTTGGTGTTCGACTGGCAATCGATGGCCACGCTTTTCTTCCGCAAAGACATCGGCAAGGTTGTCTCCTAACGTCCATTCGTAAATAACCATTCTTGATTTGCCATTCTTAACGACAATGAGCAAGAGAATGATGTGATCCTTGTCTTCTGGACGTGGGTACAGAAACGTGAGGCTTTGTATCACGCCTTGAACACCCCGCAAACGAAAGTTTTTAACTATCCCCACGGTGTTTTCGTCTTGAGGTCGGGTGAAGTTGGCGAAAGACTCGAGCTCACATACCGCAAATAGACCGTGGAAGCTACTTAAGGCCATGTACCGAGAGCTTGGATCTACAGCCATGTGAGCTCCAAAATTACCGTCCTGAAACTGTGGGGGCCTTCGAAACACGAATTCGGTAGAGCTGTAAAACTCGGGTCGACCGTCGGCCCCTGGACCAATCCAAAGGAAGACAACATCGGCATTGTCCATGACCAGCGCCAGCAACTGGGGCGGCAGTTGAGAGGTCGACCCAAATGATGGCGACGAGTGTAAGTCCTGCTCCTCCACCTTCGCGGGGGGATCAACGTCCATAGCAGAGTTGAGGTCGTCGACGCCATCTGGAATATCGAAAGAGCCGACTACACAGGCGTTGCGAATGTTATGTGGGAATCTGCGGAAAAGGATGTCTCGAAACTGGCCGTTGCTCTGAAATTCACGGATTTGGATAGACCGATGCTAGGCAAAAGGTCAGTCCCGTCACAAGAAGTGGGAACAAAGTTTCGACTTACGCCTATAAAGGCAACATCATTGTGATGAGGCGATCTGAGCCTTACGGGTAGCACAGACTTCACCATCTGGCTGTCCGCCACGGTCCTTGTGAGTAGTCCGCATATCGGAGGGTCAATCTGCTCTGCTCTCTTAGGACCTGGAGCAGCCTGTGCCCTGAGAAAAGTCTGAAAGTCGACAGTCTCAGAGACCCATTCCCCATTGCGGAGGACATTGGTTCGGAAGGAAGTCATGTTGGTAGATATAGGCAGATCGGCGGTTCGGTAGGATACGCCCCGTCACGGGTCGGCCGGCTCGGAAACGTGCAGTATTCAGCCTAGTTCTCAGGTTAGTTTCTGGTCGTGATGCATGTTCCTGGGTCCCAAGAGGCTCTGAGATAACGAGATGCTAATCGAATGAAAACAAGATGTCTGGAAAAAGGAAATGGGGATGAAAAGACAAAGAGTAGCGGAAGGTCAGTAAGACACCTTGAGCGATAAAACAGAAAACAAGGGAAGGCAGCATCCTATCTGCAAGGTGGAAAGAGCGAACTGGCGCGAGTCTCAGTGATGAGTAGCAGAAGATGGCAATAAGCAATGGAAGGTATCAGATGTCATGCAGTGTCGACTCACCTTGAGCTGTAGACTTGGGTTGTACCACCTCTCCAGGCTGTACAGACATACTAAGTATGGTAAATACAGGGGAAGTAAGTAAACGTTGACCACACTTTCTTGAGCTGTGGCCGCTTCACCACCGTAATCGGAATACGGCGAGAGGTCTGTAGAGGACGACAAGTTGCTGGAGATCTCAAGGCGGAGGAGTTACCAGGCAAGATTTGTACCTGCGGTGACCTGTAAGGTACCCGCAAAGATTGATTTCCGTGTGGCTCGACCTGGGATTTCCGATTGCTTCACTGGCGCAGCGCCAAAGAGCGGCAATGACCCGATAAACAAACAGCTTGATGTGAAGTTGAAAGAAATGGCAGCAAAGTCTCGACTCAACCCCATCAAATACGGACCAGTTGAAGTGTTGATAAAATCATGTTGAAGAGATGGGGAGGTCGAAGGTGGGGTGTGGAAAGGTGCTGTACAGTATTGTTAGTGTACTCTATCTGAAGGAGTGAAGCTCCCTCCCAGGGGCTAGCAGATAGTGGGGCAGGGTGGCCCACCTATTATAACAGGCGGGTTCGACAGCTTCCGAAACGTACATTCCTTCCGCAGGCATCAATATAAAAACAACCTTTAGGACTTCGATATGACAATGCTGTGATCCCAATTCCTAATGTACTGTACATGAGATGTAATTAACGAACGATGCCAGTGACAGGTCACAGCTCCATGAACAAAGATCCGAGCCGAGACCGTTGCTGCAGCCTGAGGTGGACCGAGACAATTCCCACGTTCCACGTCCGCGCCGTTGGGTTGCCATGGTTGCTATGGCAGCCACGAGATGTATGTACCAAGGTAAGTACATCTACCTCTCTACAAGTATACGACACCTAAAGGCATCTGAAACCTGGAAACCGCAAATCACGAATAATCGATCATCTTACCTACCTATTATCCTTCTGAGAAACAAAGACCTGAGAAGTACATCACAAGGCAGGCGCAGAACAGCAGTCCAGTTAAGGTTTTCGGCAACCGGGACCTTGGATCTCGGGTTGTCCTCTTTCGGCGCCCGGGCCGCAGGATACCTTACTTGGTAGGAGGTAGTGTAGAACCTATGAGTGATCCACTAACGGGACACGACTCGCCTATGACACAGGCGCACGTTCAACGCTAACAGTTAGCATGGATGCCCTAAAGTTATCTGGTACACAACCTCACCCAAAGTCAGCATCATCACATGTCCAGACTTGGAACCCAACGCTTGGCAGGCAGGTACATCATCACTTGAAGATCCGAACTGTCGGGAAACATATAAACATAAGTCGAGCAAGTGAAGTGCTCGAAACGACGTCACTCTTTCAACGTTGAAAGACCGACGGTGTGTCACTATCAAGAGGTCTTGAGGTAAGCTTCCCATAGCTTCTCCCAGGGGCAGAGTACTAACCGGGTTATATAGTATCCAGAGAGATCACAATATACGACAACTTTTGAGAGTTGGACAGGCTTGAGTTCTGACGCTCCCGGAACTTGAAGAAATCTCAAGCAGTGACTAAGACGTCATTACCATCGATCAATTCGAACTCGAATCACTGTCATAGTAACCGACCACCTCAGCCCAGCTCAGGTTATTCTCACAGATGTCAGAGATGGACAGCTCAAGTGAGAGCGGTGATTCTCTTCACGAGAAGGTCATCGACTCTTTCCGCGCCGAGAAAGAAGAAGCCATCCTCAAGGCGTGTAAACAGCGGGACCTCACCAAGCTACGAGCCCTCGCTGAATCTCATGGGGGATTCCTCAGCGATGAGATCCGTCAACAAGCATGTAAGTGATATATACCAAACCCCCTTCCTCACTCACACACCAGGCATCAACCAAAGACTCACTCACCTACTTACTCTCCTTCTTCCCGCAACCCAGGGCCCATCCTCCTAGGCATACCACCAAAATACGACCAAGACTCCGAACCTTCCTGGGAATCCCTCCCCCCTCACAAAGACGAAGACCAAGTCCAACTAGACGTCGACCGCGCCTTCTGCTACTACCCCGAGCACGAAACCGAGCACGAGCGCAACCTGCAAAAATTCCAGCTCTCCTCTCTCATCCTCTCCGTCCTCCGTCGCTACCCTTACCTGCACTACTTCCAAGGCTACCACGACATCTGCCAAGTCCTTCTCCTCGTCCTGCCCCCCTCCCTGCGCTCCATCGCCCTCGCCCGCCTCTCGGCCCTGCGCATCCGCGACTTCATGCTCCCAAACTTGCAAGCCGCCATCGCCCAACTCCGGCTCATCCCCGACATTCTAAGGGTATCTGACCCCAAGCTCTGGCGGCATTTATCCGGCACCGAGCCCTTCTTCGCTTTGAGTGGGACACTAACGATGTACGCGCACGACATCACCACTTTGGGAGAAATCACGCGGCTATTCGATGTGCTTCTTGCTCGAGAACCGGTGTTCAGCGTTTACATGTTCGCCGCCATCGTCCGGTCACGGAGGGAGGAGTTGTTTGATACACCGGAGGACGAGCCGGAGATGTTACATTCCATCTTGTCGAAACTTCCCAAGCCGTTGAATCTGGAAGGTCTGATTAAGGATACGGTGGCGTTGTTTGAAAACTATCCGCCGGAACGGTTGCCGAGTTGGAGGTGGGGAATTTCAGGGAATAGTGTGCTTAAGACTGCTAGAGAAGAGACAGGGACTGGGAAGGAGCAGGGGACAGAAAGGAGGGGAGGGGGAGGGGGAGTGGCGACGGGCCAGACGATGGAGGATGGGAAGAGGTTTTTTGAGAAGCAGGTTAGGGAGTTGATGTGGATGGAGAGGGGCAAGAAGGCGAAGAAGTGGATTGGAAGAATAGGAGGCCGGTGAGGACGTTGGGGCTGGCGGTGTTGGTGGGTGTTATTGCGATCTTGTTGAGGAGGGCGCCGGGAGGTCCGATGGCTTGGGTGCTGGGGGTTGTGAATCGGTGGTGGGCGAGGTAGATGTTAGGGGGGAAATAGAGCATAAATGGAACGGTGTTGACACGACGCGGAATACAAAGAACAGATACTCCTGCCGAGTAATGGCCATGGAACAGCAAGAGTCCACATCGGACGCGGATACCGAAGAACTAGAGACGTAAAGCAATCTGAGAGAATTAGAATTTTGATACCTTCCATTAGGGAAGGCATATTGTATATATAAGGTAGGAACCCTTCCGACCACACATTTTCTCTAACTATTAACCCAATACCATACCCCTTCTAGCTATTCTCTTGTACGCTTGCCTTCAGTGACTCAAAATGGTCCTGTTGTTCCGTCGCAAGCTTGCCGCTCACATCGCTAATGATGGTCAAAATCAAGCTGTAATTATTATAGAGGAACCTGTCCCGTTTCCTCGCATCCGCCCCCAGTTGCGCCTGGCTATGCTTGACCAGGAACGCCTCCACTTCGATCCGAAGTCTGTGTAGACTGCTGACGATCGGCTCATCATCTCCTGCCTCGGCACTGAGAGCAAGCACACCGTGAAGGAACTGCCCGAACCGTTGGGTCACGACGTGCGGAGCCGCCGAGGCTGTCTTTGCCTGTGAAGCCGACCCGGCCTTGTTCGGGAGCGAAGAAGTCAGCGCCTTGACGGATTGGGAGTGGGCATCCATAACGCTCTGCAGACGTGGCCATAACACCATGGCGGTGCCGTTGATGTAACCATCTACGACGGGAACTCTGCGCCTCTGCAGTTCAAAGGCCAAATGCTGGTTCAGGCGCACACACAGCAGCAGACCAAGTCCGTCATACGTGTCGGACACAAGCTGCTTGGTGAGTGCTTGGCCAAGCGCGAAGGTCTGGTCGAATATGTAGGTGAAGTGGCGCGAGATAACCGCAAGTGATAGCGCCGGGCTGAAGAAGGACACGAGGAATGTGTACTCTGCTGTAGCGTTGTCGACAAGGGCGAGGTTGAAGTTGCGAAACGGAACCTCAAGATAATGTGTGGTCTGGTCCTCATCGGCCAGGTAAGACGACATCGCTACTTGGTCCTTAGTCTTGAGCAGTTCGTTCCTTCGGCCGATGCTAAAGGCGTCATGGGGCGCGCCTCCAAGCTTAGATCCAGACAGGACAGTGGTTCTTCGTGAGGTGTCTTCGTGTCCCATCGCGTCGTTCTTGTCGATAATATGAAGCTTCAGCTTGTCTAAGGATTGTTTGTAGCGGGTAAATTGGTTCAAGTAGTACCACCGCATGGTGTTCATATAGGCCTGACATATCTCGCCGGCGAGTGTGGGTTGATGTTTTTGGAGGAACGCAAACAAATCCTTGAACCGGAGGAAGTTCTGATGTTGAATAATTTGGGCATTGATGTGAGGGGACCGCAAGGCTTTGATTTGCGCAACCAGGAAGTCCCGTATTCGTCCGATTGCCTTCAAAAAAGATGCATTAGAACAGAACAGCCAGACCCGAACAACGATCCTTACCTTAAGGATGAGCTTTTCCAGCAATGGACCAACATCAGCCAAAGCTTTGTTTTGTGGTTGTTGCGCATTTTTCTTATGAGCCGTAGCTCTCTTGTCCACTTCCGCCAATACCTTCACCCATGTTTCATCGATATGACCTTCGGCAATGGTTGTTACTACGAGTGGAGAAACGCTTAACTCTTCCACCAAGGGTCCCAGACCCTTCTCTACAGCCTTTCGGTTTTCCAGTCTCACGTTAAGAGCTTCTGATCGCGCCTGGAGGCTTTCAATATCGGCAGACACAGCAGCTAGGTCATTGCGAAAGTTGGTGAGGTTGGATTCAACGGAGCTCAGGATGTCATCGCACGCGCGGATCGACCGATGTAGGTCCTCGAATTTGGCCTTGTCTCGCTCATCTGGAAAGCACTTTATAAGCATGGATGGAGGGCAGGGCATTGGGAACAATAAGATGGCACCATACAATCTTGAACACTCTGGGGTTTATAGTTGTCGACTTGGCGCGAACTGACGTCAGGGCCGGTGAGCTCGGTCAGGGTCAAGCCCCCAAAGTCAACATCAAAGTCCAGGTCATCTTCGGTGATGCCGCTGGTTGGTTGCGCCTCGGGTTGTTGTGTGGTATTTCTACTGGGAAACTGGCCTAGAATCCTAGCCAGGACCTGTTCGGGATCTGGCGCATCGTCCACGGTGGAGGACTGCCTCAAGGATGAACCATTGGTTTTCTTTGCCGAGGCGAGAAGGGAAGAGGACGAGTCGTTCGAGACCAGAGATAATGCAGAAGACCCTCTCGTATTAAGTCCAGGCCTCTGGGGGGCAAGATATGGACCGCGCGAGCTGGTACGTTGGGGCAGCGGCGAGACGGAACGGTTGTTCGGCGGAGGAGTCGCAGCGCTTCCTGGATGCTGGCCAGGACGTCGATCAAGCCACATAGCGAATCAAGCACCGCCAGAGACGAGGCGCGAGGAGCATGCTGGTGCAGTAGGAGATCGATATGGGACAGGATCGCACCGGCGGACTCGAAAGGTGGTTGTTGTTGTCGTCGGCGGCGGCGTCGTCGTCGTCGTCTTTTGTCATATGCTGATAGATGTTGTTGGACTTGGGCGAGGACCGTCTTGTCGCTCTCCGTCGCAGCTCCGTTGTCTTCCAGGAGACCCTTGGAATCGTCGAATGCGCGCCAGCTTGGCTTGGCAAGTGGATGATGGGGACTAGCAATTGGCGGCAAGCGAACAGCTGGGTCCAGGGCGTCCGACACAAGGCTGGCCAGGCTAGCCCTTTGCCCTCCACCAGATGGTGAGGGTTACGGCTTATGCATGGATTTTAATTGGTGAATTCCCTCCGCCACGGTGAGCCACCACTCACGTCGTGCGGGTCCCGTGCGAGACATTGGAGCATTCCCGCATACGGCTTAGCATGGCCGCTTAGCCAGGCAAAAGGCGGGGCGGGGAGAACTGACCTCTCCAGTTCCGCAACACCACAAGAGAAGATCGATCACGATCGCATGTACATGCCAATTTGTACTTGACTGTTTGCTCAGAAGGGACGGCTGAGTCAATAATATGAGATGACCCGAGGCAAGACTTCTCGTCACTAGCAGTAGAGGCATAATTCAAAGGCAATTGATGTTATTTTGTCGAGCAATTCAAACAAGGGAGAGCTTAGTTCCCTTGTTGTGTACAGCCAACAGCGGGGTCGAGTTTACCGGCCAGTCAGAAGAGCCGGGGAAAAGAGAGGTCTTTGATGCAACAGACTGCAGATAGTCCGTCGTAACAGACAAGTGAGGAGACGACCAAAGAAGGGTGGGCGGGAGAGAAGGGGACTGGAGGGTTAGAAGTGAGTACCGTTTCGAAATGTGGCACGTGGAGAGGGTTAAGTGAGGGTTAATGCGACGAAAATGCAACAAGGCCAGACCGGTTGGAGGGTCAATTTGTTAGCAAACCTCAAGAGGCAAAAATCTGTGGTCGCCCTGGGCCTTTGGCGGGAGCGCAAGTTGTGCGCCAAAAGTGAGAGAGTTGTGGGTGCTTCCCACCAGGTGGCAGGGAGGAGGGGCCTTTCCTGACTGGACCGCTGGCGGGGATGCTGCATTTTTTCGTCCCTCTCGACTCCCGTGCTCAAAATCGCTTTTTTCCTTTTTCAACTCCCCATATTTTCCTCTCCCCGTGCCGCCTCCAGCGTTCTTGATCCATCATCTTCTGTCTCTCCTTGCCCTTTCGACGGTTTATCCTTTGTCAATCCTTTCAAGATGTCTGCCGCCAACGACGACGCTGTAAGTCCCATCTTCCACCTGTTGTCGCGCCCTTTTAGAAATCATCGTCACACTCCACAATCATGGTGGTCGCTTGCGGGCGGCTGTCTGCGTAGACAGAGTCGTCACCCCGCATCGCTCATCGCGCACCCCCTCTCGCTCCTCCCGTGGTGTGGTCCTTCGCCGACGGGAATGGCCTCTTGCTCGCCCAACGCACGGAACCCGAATCGCATCATGTTCACCCTGGTCATCCCGTTGCAATAGCCGCGTCCATCATCACCAAAGCATTGGATGCTAACCACAATGTCCCCCATATATAGCAGCATGAGCACACCTTCGACTCCGTCGACGCTGGTGCGTCCGCCACCTACCCCATGCAGTGCTCTGCTCTCCGCAAGGGTGGCCACGTCGTGATCAAGAACCGTCCCTGCAAGATCGTCGACATGTCGACCTCCAAGACCGGCAAGCACGGTCACGCCAAGGTCCACTTGGTCGCCATCGACATCTTCACTGGCAAGAAGCTCGAGGATCTCTGCCCCTCCACCCACAACATGGACGTCCCCAACGTCAAGCGCACTGACTACCAGTTCGTACGTATTATCCGGACGCTCCCCCGATCGCTGGGCCCGGGAATCTGGAAGCTAACTTTTGCACTAGTCCTACATCGATGAGGACTTCCTTGTCCTTATTGACTCCAACGGTGAGGAGAAGCGTGACGTCAAGATGCCCGAGGGTGAGCTTGCCAAGCGCATTGAGAAGCTCGAGGAGGAGGGCAAGGACTTCTGTAAGTTTCCCCAACAATTGCGCTTTTCAGCTTGCGGCGATGCTAATACTGTTCAACAGTCGTCGGTGTCCAGACCGCCATGGGCGAGGAGGCTGCCATCGATGTCAAGGAGGCTGCCAACAAGGACTAAAGGAAGTTTGGAGGAGTTGGAGGGACACCGGACGTTTGGCATTTAACGATGGCTTCATGGGACGGTTCTGTTGGTTTTTGCCTGGCTAAGAGATATCCGTCTTTTTTGCGCTATATCTAAGTGTTTATGGGTCACACATGAATGGTTTCACGTCTTCCCGTCTTGGTTGACCCGGTAGCTGCTGGAATAGGGCGCGACTTCTTCAGGAAATCGCAAGAAGCTAACGTCTGCCAAACATCTTGCGCGTCTCATGGTTTTTCGTCGGTGCGAATCATTGAATCGGGTTGTTTGCGACTCGCAAAAGAGCTGTGCTGTTTGATAGCACATTAAAGGAAGGTTCGCTGGATTGAGTTGTTGGTCCAGCTCGGCTTCCCCGTTTCGAGCTGTTGAGTACCTCTCTGGTCTCGTTTAGTCTCCGATAGGACGACCGAAGTTCATCCCGTGTGGGGATATGATACCGAGACATGACTGGCGGCGCAACTGACGTCGAAATGTACATATCGACTTTCACGATTCAAGCATATGCTAGTTCATGCGAATGTGTGGGTCATTCGTATAGGAAAGTATAAAAGCATCAATGAAGACATGGCTTTGTGTATATCAATTATTATGCCTCCACTAGCTATCTAGAGGTCGATGTATCCGGTGGGTCAGCCAGACCTTCTCACTTTAATTTCACTTCATCCCGCGGACGGCGAAATATCAGACTGAAGAGCAGCTTCTCGTCAATCAAGTGATTCGCGGTTAGTAAAGCGGCGTTGCGTGTTTTGGCGACTTCCGTCAGAAGGAAGGTCAAAGGCAAAGTCGATTTCGCGCTGTTCTGCTCAGTTTTGAAAATTTTTATTATCTGTCGGCGAGTCGCATGTCCGCCAACATGCTTTCAACACAAGTGTAACTATCACCATTTCATCCTCTTTTTCACTTCGAATTATACCCGCCTTTTAGTTTACTCAGGAGACCTTGCAACTCTCCATCATCTGACCTTCCCCTCGCGAAGCCGTGCGCGTACATTTTCATTATTCACTCACCCCCGCTCAACCTGCGTCATCAGTGACGGGACATAAGCGAGGAACAACGTTGCAGTCTTCATTCGACAGGCAGGCGCCCAGGCAGTCAGGCAAGCGCTAGATAGGTATAGAGTATGGATGAACAGAGGCTCAGAAAGTTTCCCAACGGACAGAGATGTACCGAGTGCCGTGCGCGAAAGTACTACTTGGAGAATGGACGAAGATATTGTCAACGCGGTCATGAAGTTGAGGTACGTTTATCCACATCAAAAGAGTTCACCAACCAGGCCCAATTGAACCCAATTGAAGATCCATACGCTGATTACATTTGTATCAAAGGGGTACAATCCAATTCGACGCGACGAAGACGACAACTACGGCAAGACCGGCAAGGTAGTGCGCAAAGAAAAAGAAGTCCGCGAAACCGAGCGCAAGCATCTCACGGGCAACGACGCCAAGGAACTCTACCTGGACTGTCTCCAGATCATCTTGCGCAAACAAATAGCCTGGTTGATTCGCGAGAAGGGCTTTTCTGACGAGCTCGAGTCTATCTGTCGCGACCTCTGGGACCTGCGGATCCGCAAGTTCATTGGCCTCAAAAGCGTTTCTTCTAGGACTCAAGAAAAAGGGAAAGGAATCGACCATGATGGGACGAGCTCGCAACCTGGTGCGCTCTCTCAGTCGGGCTCCGATAGCGAGATGGTCATGTACAGCTCTCAGGCGGAGACGACGGATACGTCGGCTGATGAGAGTGTGAAGAGCCAAAGGAAGAGGAGGTCGAGCAGGGTGAAGGATTGGGAGAGCGAGCTGTGGGATTTGCCGGGGCCGATGGAGGTGTTGGCGCTGATTTATATGGGGTGCTTGCTGAAGCAGGAGCCGGTGAGGGTGGGGGATATTTATCGGTGGGCGAAGAATAACCAGTTGCCGTTTCTTGGTGCGGTAAGTCCGTCTATATCTGTCAGATGAGGGTGAACTACGACTGACTGGTTTTCTAGATTGACCTTGTACCCAACGAGCTACGAGAACGTTTGCCAGGTTGGGCTCAGCGCACACTATTAACACGATGGGCAAAGTTCGACGGAAGCGAGCTGCACAAGTCGTTGTTGACCTTGACCCTAGGTTTTAAGAAGAACTATGGCATGGTTTCACCACCACTTCCAGCACCGTCACTACTGGTCCTGTATCTCAAAGACCTGGCTCTTCCACGTATGTTCTATCACTCCTTACCTTAAACAAGCACCATGATCTAACACATAACACAGCCGAGGTCCACCTCCACGCCCGCCAAATCTGTCTCATGCTCAACCTCTCCTGGACCTTCCCGACCCGGCAAAACATCAAAGACGACACGTCCTCCTTCACCGGCAAGACCTCTCGCTACACGCTCCTCGACATCCCCGATGTGTTACTGGTCGCCTCTCTGGTGCTAGCAACCAAGTACATGTACCCCATGGACGGCGTCAAGCGGTACCCGCGAGACAACAACGATCCATTAACGTTGAAGATGGACTGGGACGCTTGGGAGGCCGAGTTCGTGGATCCGCCTGAGAAGCCGCTCAGGAGACTGGACTTTGCGGCTATGGATGCGGAGAAGATCTGGAGACTGAGTAAGGAGCAGATGGTGGAGTATTTGGATTGGTATCAGGAGACGCAGTTGAAATCGTGGAGCACCGCTGGTATGTCTGGCTGCTTTTAAGACTACTGACTTGGGGATCTTTATTGACACTTCAACAGACGAAACCGAGATCGACCGTCTCTTCCCACTCGAGAATGTCCTGCGACTACCAGAGCCCGGAAGCAAAGATATGACAGATGAGGAGCTCATTGTTCGGATGCATCGAGTACAGAAGTCCATGACGCTGGTCGAACCGAGGCCTGAGGCCAATGATGGAAGGAACATTAAGAGGCTGGGTTCACTTCACCAGCGGTTTAGGTCGATTGAGCAACTTGGGGAGTCTGGACCCGCGAGAAGGTTTCATGAGAAAGCTGCGGAAATCTCGGGGTTGTCATTGAAGGCTTTGGTTAAGGCGGTTTACAGTCTTGAGGAGTTGATGTTTGGTTGGGAGAAAAGGGAGAAGAGGAGGATGAGGTTGGGGGAGGTATAATCTGGGTGAACACTTGCGTGGGCAGATCTTCGGCATAGGAGATTACAACATGAACCATGGAGGATACTTGTTAGAGAGTATCATCTGGTGTTCTTGTTGGATGTAGCGAAACCAAAGGTTATGTTCTCTTGGAAAGATAGCAAGACCGGGCGAATGCCGTCGTTAAGATCAAGGTACAGTGCAGGTATGCAGCAAATAGAACAGTGACATGCGCACGTACCACTTTGCCCAGGAAGCCCTAGCGGCGGTTTCCATAACCCCACCATTGCTTGCCGTTCCCCGACATCATCACCCTCACTCCTTCACCACCAACCTCACCTAGGAACAATCGGTCAAGAGTAGGTCATGGCGCGCTATTATCCAGACGAGCTCTTTGGACGGGTTGAAGGCTAATATGACCTAACTTACAGTGCAGATGCAAGTCCTCCGCGCTTCCGACCAAGTCCGCGACAGCACAAGTCCATTGAAGCAATCAAGCGGAGTCAGTCACTAACAAACGGACGTTGTACCCCTGGTGTGTAGCTTCGTGAAGACCCTCACAGGCAAGACCATCACCCTCGAGGTCGAGTCCTCGGACACCATCGACAATGTCAAGCAGAAGATTCAGGACAAGGAGGGCATTCCGCCCGACCAGCAACGCCTGATTTTCGCTGGCAAGCAGCTCGAGGATGGCCGCACCCTCTCCGACTACAACATCCAGAAGGTCAGTGGACATGACGATGGCCCCACACTGCGCTTATGATGTACTTGTATAAGGGAGGGTGATAAGAGAACAACAACGCTCAGCATTGAGTTGAGATGGCTATGGGAGTAGAAATGGTATCGGTGTGCTTGGTATCATGTGCGATTTGCTAACAACACTTTCTGCTATAGGAGTCTACCCTTCACTTGGTCCTCCGTCTGCGCGGCGGTATGATCGAGCCCTCGCTCAAGATTCTCGCCTCCAAGTTCAACTGCGACAAGATGATCTGCCGCAAGTGCTACGTACGTTTACACCACAGTCGAGGCTTTCTCAGGATTGCAAATCAAGGGCTGACATCTTTCCAGGCTCGTCTGCCTCCTCGTGCGACCAACTGCCGTAAGCGCAAGTGCGGACACACCAACCAGCTCCGCCCCAAGAAGAAGCTCAAATAGACGATTCATCCCCATGTATCGGTATCAGGATTCGGCGCATATAGGTTCCGGCAGCAATGGGTATGGTCACGGCAACGGCATAAGGATAACGGGACAGGGAAATACGGGACCTGGGTATGGTTACAGCTGAGAAGGTCGGGTCAAGAACTCCCAGGTACCTTCACGAATGAGCTCGTATATCGCCAGCAAAGGCATACAATATGGCATAGAAGCTTGTATACCAAAAATCAAGTCAACTTGCAACAAACTCTCGTCCTTGATCACAAATGTTGCTCGTGATAGCTCAACTACCTTGATGGCCAACTCGGACCCACGTGACATTTTGCGGGGAGTTAGTGCAGGGGACGGGAAACCGTAGGGGGTGCACTGCAGCAGTTTCATGACCCCAACAGGGGACGTGCACGCAATTATACAGCGGTAAGGTACGTACCGTTGCGCGGGTCCCGTTGAAACAGCTGTCCACCAACTCCGGAGGGACCAGCTTTGGAGGAGCTTCATCAATAACACTTTCCGACACCCGACTTACACCAAACACAAACGAACGGCGATTGACTTGAGACGATTCCGATTACTCCGGAACAGCCATCGACGCGTTTCTAAGCTCCAACCCAAATCGCCATCGAAGCATTCATCATCCCTAAACGCATTCGACCAGCAGACGAATAACCGCCGACAAGATGTCCAGATCCGGCTACGACGCAGTCGTAGACGTCGACGACGAGGTTCGCATATGCTCAGCCACCATTTTGACCATCCTCCCACTTTACTAACGTACATCCCAAAAACCGCAGGGCGACCTAGGCCACACCGACCTCCAAGAAGATCTCGAATTCCACCAATCCAACTTCTCCGAATCCTCCCCCCTCGGACGCAAAGGAACCAAATCCACCCAACACACTTCGTCCACCACTGGCGGCGGCGGCTTGCTTCCGGCACCCGTAACCGCTTCTTCGAATTCTAACTCCGGCTCCGGAGGATCCGGCAAGCGGTTCCTCTGGACCTTATCCTTCTACGCGCAGTTCTTTGACGTCGACACGTCTAGCGTGCTGCAGCGGTGCTGGGCGGCGCTCTACCCGCGGGCGAACTTTTTGGATGTGCTGGAGGGAAACCCGGATCTGTATGGGCCGTTTTGGATCGCGACGACGGTGGTGTTGATTTTGTTCCTTGGAGGGACGATTAGTGATTATTTGGCGCAGACGGGGAAGGAGGCTTTTGCTTATGATTTTCGATTGTTGAGCGGTAAGTCATTTTTACGTCTTGGTTCTCCCTTTCGGGCGGATGGGTTAAGCGGGTAAGAGGTGAATGTGGGTGAAGGAGGCTAACAAGAGGGAAAATGATTATAGGTGCCGCTGGTCTCATCTACGGCTACACATTCGTCCTGCCCGTTGCTTTGTACCTCGCCCTGCGGTACTTTGGATCCGAATCCGCCAACTTGCTCGAGTGCTGGGCTTTGTACGGGTATGCCAACCTCATTTGGATTCCCGTGGCGCTGATTAGCTGGTCGCCGATTACGATCCTTAACTGGGTGTTTGTGGGCGTTGGGTTCGGCGTGTCGGTTGCTTTCCTGCTCAGGAACCTCTATCCTGTGCTCAGCGCTACGGATCGCCAGACAAGCAAGGTGTTGCTGTTTGTGGTGGTGGCGCTGCACTTTGGCTTGGCTCTGGCCATCAAGGTGCTCTTCTTTGCGCATGGAAGTCCGGCGTTGAAGGATGGACCGAAGGGAGCTGCTCCTGGTGGCGGTGGGGATGCGAAGCCTGCTGATCCGGCTATGATGATGATATTCTAGGTGGAAGGGGTTTGCGACATAATGGATACTGGTATATTGGGAAGAGGTACGTGTGTGGTTGTGGCTTTGTATCTGATATTCGATGCTTTACTACTTCTATCATCATTGACGGCTCATGGGAAGGCGTTTGCCATCATTGATATCTTGGAATTGATATTTTCATTTAGGCAAAAAAACCATGACTGCTGAATCACTGGGCTGGGAGTTGTTTCCCCCAGTCGTCGTCTTGCCCTTTGGTACACTATTCCTCCTCTTTCTATACTGGGTGTAATCGACAGGTATGCATCCATCCATCCATCCAATTATCCATTCGTTCCATTTCCAGGTTTAATAGCCGTAGTCCATCCCAAGACGAAAAGTGCAGACGGAAAGCAAAAAAAAAACAAAAAAAACCCTAATAATAAGAAAATAATAAGAAAACGCTCGCCTTTTGATCAATCCCATCTCCCTTCTTTTCCTGACCATGACCATGACCATACCAATATATACCTATCCATGCTTTTTCTATACAACCATCCCCGTGCCCCAGCATGACGGTTGGCAACGAGGGAGGGAATCCATTCTATCTATGCTCACTTTATGCTTTTGCACGGTTTTGGCCCGAATTAAATCAGGGTCAACCCGTTCATCTCAACCTTCTCAAATCATCTTGACCCTTTTGACGGCCTTGTTAGCCTCGCTGTCTCGTCTCAAGTTGTCTTAATACTGCCAACCACAACACCATAGAATCAGTGCCCCATTCTGATCTGTGAACCGAGTAGCAATACCCCGTCCCGGCTACTCTGGCTAGTCTGACCGCTCTTGCTGTTTTTGCTGGACTTGTTGCTCTTGCTGCTTTCGTTGGTACGGCTGGCCGGGGAGGGGCGACTCACGGATTTGTTGCTGCCCGAAGATGGCGATGAAGAAGAAGAAGAAGAAGTAGTACCGAACGAAGAGCGGATCTTTTCCTTCAAGAGCCCGGTTCGGCTGGAGAAGCTCGAGGTTGAGGTGGTGGATTCTGCGTAGTCCTTGGTCTTCTTGGATGAGGAAGAGTTGTACCTGGAAGTGGAGGAGTTGGAGAGAGGAGATTGTTCCAGTGCGCGAGTGCCTTCGACGATTTGCATGGCGTGGGAGCGGGAGGTGGGGTGGGAGGGGAAGTTGAAGTTTGTTGAGGCGGACATTTTGATGGTTGTCGACTTGTTGGTTGTTGGTAGTGTTTGGTTGACTAGTAGTGGTGGTGATGATTCGATGGAGATGTCTTTTCAGATGGTGTACAGTTGACGTTTGGTGGCCAAGTGAAGTGTATAAGTGAAGCTTCGAGTTGGTTGGAGGTGGTAGTTGCTTTTATGTTTTTGTGATTGTGGAAGGTAGCTGTGGAAGGTAGGACTTGTAGTCTGAAGCCTGAAGCTGTTGATGAACAACAAAACACAGCATCCTGAAAGACGAGGCCACCAAGTCCTCTTATACATCTTCGACAACTCTTCCTTTTCCTAGAAGACCTCCCCTTACCTATCTGACACAATAGTATAAAACAACATTACTTACGGCGAGTGAAGAGGGTAAGGCCGACTTCGACCAAGAAGCGAAGCCACATCCAACATCCATCAAGGTACCGAAGTATCTCTGTACCCATCCCATCCTATACCCCTTTCGTTGATGTAAGTGACTGCCAGATGTACGTACTCACGTACGTCTACCTTTTCTCCCCACATATCCATAGCAACCAAGGGGAACAAAAAGAAAAAAAAAGACATGACGCATTCCGTATGTCCCTGTCATGTCTGATCATCTCTGAAAAGTCCGAACTGAACGATGACAACGAAACACTGTAGGCTCCTGCATAAAACCACGTGGGAACCCTGTCAGCCTACTCAGCCCGACTGCTTCTGACCGTGGAAAAGGCAATCAAAGCAAAGCCGTCGTGGGCCACAGGCACACTTGACACCTCACAAGAGCAGAAAATTTTGTCGAGAATTTGTCAATGCCAATGCATATTGAATGTAAAGAAGCAAAAAAAGACTTAGTAACGTCTTCGGTATAAGCCTACTAGTAGAGCTAGGGTATGAAGCTTGCCAAGCCATGTCAACAAACAGGTACCTAAATCAAAGTCAAGTCAAAGTCAAATCCATGGTAAGGCTAACTAAGGCTAGCTGTGGCTGCGCCATCCATCATCAGATGTACTTGTCTAGTAACTTTGGTGGGAAGTCATCCATCCGAACTTCAGCAGCTCTAAGAGGTGGGATGAGATACGCAAACATTGAAGCCTCTCGATAAAAGTAGTCGTGTGTATGTGAAAGACTCGCCGGCAGTGGGTTTGCCGAGCTGCTTAGTGCTGACAGACAGCGGCAGAGAAAAGTTACGGCGGGTTAGGTTTTAAGATTTGGGGTGGTGTTGTCATGTTAAGGTTTGGTAAGTTGGTAGGCTGACTGACGGTCAGGTTTTCTTTTCATGGCATTTGTGAATGGAGCATAGACAAGCATTGAGGAGCACTGCCGTCGTCATACCGCTTTCTCTTATCTTTGGTTTTAACAAGAATTTCTTTGACATACGCAGCCACTTCATAAGACGAGGAGATATAGTCCGGAGGTTGAAGTCAATGAAGGGTTGAGAGGCTTCGTGACTAGGTATCTGGAAAGATTGCCTATCCCTTGGTGATCAAGTCGAGGAGGACCATGCATAAGCCGGTGTTAGCGATGGTGGTGTACGTACTTCAGCCTTGTTTTTTTTTATTGACAAACAAATTTAGGGCTGACAGACAGTGGGCGGGAAAGAAATAATGATCATGGGAATAAAGCGGTCCATGGCGGTTTGGTGGTTACGAATCCACCTCGGCGTGCGGCGTCCATAAGAGGTTAGAAACTATTCCCAATTGAGATCTCACTCGAAGCCTATTGGGATGTCAGAAGCCAATGGGTTCTCTTGCCGCTTTTTTGACACACACACCGAAAAGCTTTCTGTTTGGGTTATCCGCTGTCATTTTGAATTGTCACGTTTGGCATCATAGCGTACGTAAGCTGTCGAAATCTCTGCTGCAAGTTCGTTCGTGGCTTTCTGTAAGTGACCATTGTAGCTTACGCCATCATCGAGTGTCGTCGAGTGTAACGCGCGTTCGAACGGTTCGGCCTTGAACCTGCGTGAACCTTGCATGAAGGTTTTGGGAATTTCGGTCAGAAGATTCACACAAGGAGCCCTTTCCTATTTTCTTGGGAGAAATAAGCTTACAGCGGTGATGCGATTGGGTGCTATTCTAGACGGAGGTGGTGATGGTTGGACTTGGACTTATGCGTTGGTGTATCATGCTCTAAGCTACGACGGTCTGGAAGATCGATGAGTCAACGGACGACGACCAACATGTAAATCGGACTCGAACGGGTTGACCGATAAGGACGGGTTTCCCCAGTATTTCTGAAATTTTGAGTTCCTTTGATGTTGTCCAGTTCTAACCTCAACTCATGATGCTCTTCGACGGTCCTTGACCCCGCTGCGCTCCCAAGTCGACTTTGCTCATTGCCAAACGCTCTCGCAGCCGAAAACATTCATAGCTCATCACCATTGGTTCAAACAATGGCGTTCATCCCATGGCGATGATGATAAATTGTTGGCCATAGACCGCTTCCTTCCGACTGAAGTGCCTAGGAAAGAATTTGAGATCTACAGAGCGACGTTTACACCTCTCGGACGACAATGGAGGTTCAATGACGACCGCTGACAATAGTGGACCTCCGCTAGAAGCCTTCCAGAAGATGTAGGCTAGTGAGCGACCAGGGGCAGAGCGGCACCGAGACGGGCGACGGCACTTCGCGACGCGACGTGACGAGTGGTTCGACCGACATTGCCAATATCGACGCCATCATTGTGAATAGCAATTCTCAAATCTCCGTGATGACCGAAAGTTCGGCGGAGGAGTGGTGACCCGGCGGTATGATGGATATGTTTTCGGTGAATCACTGACCTTGGAGCCAGTGCCTGGAGATCAATTCAGCTTCCCGTCCGTTGTGGATGTGCCGACCCCCCTGATATGGGACTGTTAATGACATGCAGGTCAACAACAACAGCTGCCATCCGAACTTTGAACCGGCCCTTCGGCTCGGAATGACAAGCAGATCAGTAGGCGCCACGACATATGAAAGATCTGGACCACGAATCACCAACGGTGGTTTCTCAGTCAAAAGATCACACAAAGTCACAACCCGCTGCTTTGTAATCCCAGCCCAACATTTTGTATGAAACCATCGATTGGCTTAGACGGTTGAATACGAATACGCCGGGAGCACGGGCCTCAGCCGGAGATAGTTGCGAGAGCGAAGACTGGACAAGCCAGGCTAGGCCTGATAGGGCACCCCACGGATGTGCTCATTTGACAGTGTAGAGGTGATGACACTATCAGACGCCATCAACCTGTGGTAAGCTGGTGATGGGTATACTCGCGATCTACACAGTTTCAAAACAATGATTAGTTTAAAAACCCCAGATATTGGTAATCACCATTGCATCCGGACATCGTACGCTACTCATGCATTATCGACGTCAAAGAAATGTTTGCTGTGCTGTTGTTGAGGTGAAATGACAAGGACTCTTTTTTGCTCGCCTAACGCACGTCGATATTGGGAGCTAACAACCGACGGCTCGGGCTGTTGGCGAGCTTCCTCTTTGCGACAAAGTCTCACAAGAGCCATTCCCGAGGCTGAAAGCAAAGCTGTAGATCCAACTGGGAAGTCACACAATGTGGAGGAAGCTAAGGCAGGAACACTCGGACAGCCGTCGCTGGTGGTTGGTTGCACCTGTTGAACCCTGGGTTTTGTTTGAAATTCCGTCTTTGTGATCGCCATATTCAAGGGAAGGGAAGGGAAGCGGCTCTCTGTTCCGTGGATTCGAACATGGTGTGGTGCGGAATGGGGTGGTTCAGGTGGTTCCTGGTGCGGTTTCGGCAGCAAATGGCACTGATCGGGACCCTGTTCGTGCCTGTCGTGCCTGTCTAATCTCTTTGCCCCACCCACCCGCTCGTCAAAATGGCCCAGGTCGAAGCTGGGCGCCGCTGCCGGGGGTAAATGGAACATTACTGGTCAATTGGCCCCCAGTTTCGCTGCCAATGTCGAGCTCGCCGGCGCCATAACGCCAAAATCTCTTTTCCGGTAGCTCGTCCACGGCACGCCAGGGGTCACTTCCACTTCCAACAATCCTTGCTATTACCCGCCTATCGCCCTGTTGGACGGGCATTCGTTGTTATCCGGCGCCCGGGTCCCCTTTTTCGTCTGGTGTCTTTGTTACGTTATATTAGACATTGCACCTTCCTGGTACCACCTCCCAGGGGAAACCGCCCTTTTTTTCTTCTGCTTTCCCATACTCAACCTCCGCCTCCACCCTCCCCTCCCCCATATCTCGCTTCACACCGAGCTTCTCGTCGCTAGAGGCCGTATCGGTGTAGGTGAACTCTTGGGCCCCCGTCCGAAACCCTACAGGCTTTCCTCGTCTATCGGTCACCTCTCAACGACGCGCAACATGGCTTCCAACGCAACTAGCTTCACCTCGCCTCTGGCCAGCGCCAAGCTTGGCACCATCGCCGTCCCTCCCCAGCTCGAATACGTTATCGATACCATCTCCAAGGCGAGCGGCTGGACTATTGTATTTACTCTTCTTGCTGCTCTTGTAGCTTGGGATCAGAGTATGTTCAACCACGAATTTCCGGCAGTCCCGCTGGGTGCAAATGTTGTCGAACGACAGATACTGACAAGTCTTGCGCGCGACAGTCAAGTATGTCCTCAACAAGGGCTCAATCGCTGGCCCAGCATGGAAGATTCCCTTCATCGGACCCTTCTTGGAATCCATTGACCCCAAATTCGAGGAATACTATGCCAAGTGGTTGAGCGGTCCTCTCAGCTGCGTTTCCGTCTTCCACAAGTAAGTCGAGTCCACGTCCGAATATCGCCGAGAGATCCGAGTCGCAAAAACTTACGCGACGACATGACAGGTTCGTCGTCATTGCCTCGACTCGCGATATGGCCCGTAAGGTCTTCAACAGCCCCGGTTATGTCAAGCCCTGTGTCGTCGATGTCGCCCACAAGCTGCTCGGCGCCGATAATTGGGTTTTCCTCGATGGTCCCGCCCACGTCGAGTTCCGCAAGGGTCTCAACGGCCTCTTCACTCGCCGCGCTCTCGAGATCTACCTCCCCGGACAGGAGGAGGTGTACAACCGCTACTTCAAGACCTTCCTCGACATCACCAAGAACGCCGGCGGAAAGCCCGTTCCCTTCATGCCCCACTTCCGTGAGGTCATCACTGCTGTCTCTTGCCGTTCCTTCGTCGGCCACTACATTTCTGATGAGGCTGTCAAGAAGATTGCCGACGACTACTACCTCATCACCGCCGCTCTCGAGCTTGTCAACTTCCCCATCATCATTCCCTACACCAAGACGTGGTATGGCAAGAAGGCGGCTGATATGGTCCTCGCCGAGTTCGCCAAGTGCGCTGCGAAGAGCAAGGTCCGCATGGCTGCTGGAGGCGAGGCTACCTGCATCATGGATGCCTGGATCAAGCAGATGATTGACTCCAAGAGGTGGCGCGAGGCCGTGGCCAGCGGTAACACGGAGGGTGTGGAGAAGCCCACTCACCTGCTCCGCGACTTCACCGACTACGAGATCTCCCAGACCATCTTCACCTTCCTCTTCGCTTCCCAGGACGCCACCAGCTCCGCCGCTACTTGGCTCTTCCAGATTATGGCTCAGCGCCCTGATGTCCTCGACCGTGTCCGTGAGGAGAACCTCAAGGTCCGCAACGGTGATATCCACGCCCCTCTCAACATGGAGCAGCTCGAGTCCATGACCTACACCCGTGCCGTTGTTCGTGAGCTCCTCCGCTACCGCCCTCCTGTGCTCATGGTCCCCTACCTCGTCAAGAAGCCTTTCCCCATCAGCGAGGATTACACCGTCCCCAAGGGCTCCATGGTTATTCCCACCACCTACATGGCTCTCCGCGACCCCGAGGTCTACCCCAACCCTGACTACTTTGACCCCGAGCGTTACTACTCTGGTGACGCCGAGGCCAAGGGTGCCAAGAACTATCTCGTTTTCGGTGTCGGTCCTCACTACTGCCTCGGTCAGCAGTATGCTCAGCTCAACCTCGCCCTTTTCGTCGGCAAGGCCTCTCTTCTCCTCGACTGGAAGCACCACCCCACTCCCCTATCTGAGGAGATCAAGGTGTTTGCCACCATCTTCCCCAAGGTAAGTTCCAAATCAGTTCGCTGTTTTTGTATAGGAGCATTTGCTAATGTTAATTAGGATGACTGCCCCCTCACTTTCGAGGAGCGCAAGTGGTAAACACAGGCTGTTTGGTGTGGATATCGATATAAAAAAGGGATCTTCCTTGGATTTGGAAAGATCGGCGGAACAAAAAGCATAATATCGCGGGTTTTGGTCAACTCTTAAGGGACCACGGAAGAAACTTGACGAAACAGACACATGACGAACCAAAGTCCAGTCATCCTTCGTATTGTCCCCCGACTGCACATTATACCCCCGCTGGAAAGAGCATTGCATTCTGGATGACAAAGGTTTCACGAGGCGTGGGAGGGGTGTTGGGAGGAATGGGAGGCCGGCGCGAAAAGGGAAGGATGACATGGAACCTAATGATGGATAATGATGGTTTTCTGGGGCGTCGCTGGCCCTGACTGACAAATGTCGGTTGAAAGGGCTCCTGGAAAATATAAATCGGCCGGGCGTGGCTTGATACAAAGAATAACAATATAGTTAATATAATACCCTTTGAATTAAATCAGGCTCCAGTGAAACTGTGAAAGGGATCGACGTGGTGTATATACCCGCAGACTTGAGCCTCATCCAGCCCAAGCGATCCCAAAGAATTCCTGAAGGGGTGCCGACGGGAGGCACAGTCCCGCTTCAGACGAGTCATGAGATTCCTTTATGTACGCCCACTCGTCATCGTACGCCGGCTGGTTGGACAAAGCATCCAGAGCTGAGCCGGGGGTAGCTGCATTCAGCGTTTGGCATATGACATTTTCTTCCTGATCACGATTAGAAGAAGTGATAAGGGACATGTTATACTTCTAGTTTGAAAGCCAAGAGTCATCATGCCACAAGGCCACATAAAAAGTCTGAGTCGAGGTCAAGATCCGAGACACCGCATCGCATCACCAATTGTTGTTAGGAGGTGTGTGGTTTCGCTTCGATGTTTCGAATTGCGACTCCACTATCGGGGAAGGATGGGGTACATGAATTTGACCCCACTATCTCAACGTCACCTAATCCCCGAACTACATACCCTGGGCGGCCCGCCTCCGCAGTTCGGCGCCTGCTGGAGCATTGCATGCCCGTAGTGTACTGCTGCGGCAAACTATCCTCCCGATATCATGCACTGACATTGAATTCCTGACTTATACATTAATCAGTCAGGATTTCTTCACAAACCACGATAATCATCGCCACAGCATTTTTTTCTCTAGTCACAACCACCACCACGAAGAACAACCAACTAGGTCTACAGAACAAACGATCAATACATAACGACAATGTCCGCCCCAGCAAGACGCTCCATCGCGCGCCTCTCCGGCGCCGCCGCGCAACAAGCTACCTCTACCACTTTCGGCTCGACCACCCCCGTTACTCTCACCAGCGCGAGCCTGCGCAAAGCTGCTGCTACCGCTCAACAAGCCCAAGCCCAAGCCCAAGCGCAGCAACAAGGTCCGACGCAGCAAAGAGCTTTCTCGACTTCGACCGCAACCGCTCCCGTGCGCCCGAAAGTTACTGGACCGGTAGCTGTGACGACGTGGACGGCTAGAGCCAAGGAAGCTGTGGAGAGGAGCAGGGCTAGGGCGTATTCCCAGGGTGTTGAGGGGGGAGAGGGAGGAGAAAATAAGATTTGGGGGTTTGAGGATGTAGGTTTCCCTTCCCGTTTTCGCCATTTACATAAGCACTCTGGACTTGGGGTTTTCGAGTTTGGACCTTGGATTTTGAACTCTGGAGTTGGAAGCGAAGAGTGAAGAGCAAAGGGTCTTGTCTGGGATTAGAACTGGACGACCTGATTAGGAAAGATCAAGTTGGAAGAAAGGATACAAGGAAGAGAAGGGCTATGAAGCAAGAGTGGGGAAAAAAGAAAAGAAAGAAAAGGAACGAAAAAGGAACAATGGAAGGATACAGGACAAGACCAGAAAGGACAAGACGAGACAGAACAGGACAAGACGGCTAACTGGGATCTACAAAACAGATGCAAAAATTGATCGAAGATCCCAAGAAGGAAGTTGTTATTGTTGGTATGTTCTTTCCCCTTCCCTTTTTTTCTCTCCTTTCCACCTCTCCCCCTTCCCCTTCCCCAACCATACCCCCAACCATCATTCACTAACAATATCTCCCCTTGGCAGACGCCCGCGAACCAGGCGAACTCATCCAAACGGGCCACATTCCCGGCGCAATTAACATCCCCATCACCACCTCCCCGGATTCCTTCTTCATTTCCGAAGACGAATTCGAGGACCGTTTCGGTTTCCCGCGCCCCTCTAAGGACAGCGAGGTAGTCTTTTACTGTAAGGCGGGCGTGCGCAGCCGAGGCGCGGCGGGACTCGCGAGAGAGGCTGGGTGGGAGAAGGTCGGGGAGTATCCTGGGAGTTGGCTGGATTGGGCTGCTAAGGGGGGAAGGTTGAGCATTAGAGTGGAGGGTTAGGGGGGTAAATTTTGCTGAGGGAGAAGTGGTTTGGGGATGATATGAGGGTTGACAGGAAAACAGAGACTGGGTTGGGGTTTGGGGTATTTGCGTTAGAAGGGAAATGAGGGGGTTATAGACTGATGTTGAGCCTGCGCAGGGTGCGAGAACAAAGGAAAAGCAATTATGATCTCTAAACACCTTGGGGTTGTACGACTATGTTCAAATGTCAACTTGGCTGATGGAGATCTTTACTCGAAAAGCTGCATTGGGTCCCGTTGGGTTCCAGCCTACTTCTCGCTCTCGTTCTTCAACAAAAACAAAAAGGGGTATATCATTCTAATCCTCAGTACTTTTCATCACTCATTATCCCATTCCACATTCGTGAATCTTCCCCGATTGTCCACTAGAAAGTCTCATCCATCAAATCCGGATTCATCTTCACCACACTCGGACTAAACTCCGTTGACTCCTCCGGCATCTCCCCCGCCGTGAGCAACAAATTCTCCACAATCTTCTTACTTGCCTCCCTCGCCGGCGTCTGCAACAGCTTCGACGGCGGCAACGCAAACTGGATCGTCTTCGGCGGACTCATCCCTCCGAAAGGATCCTGCTCGCTATCGCTCTCCCAATCGATCTCCTCCAGATACCTCTTCTTCGCTTCTACCGTGCCCTTAGGGATGGGCGTCTTGCCGGCGTTTGTCGCATTGGCGGCACTGGTGGTGCTAAAGACATCTTTTGTTTTACGTCCAGCCATGGGTGTTTGAACGCTTAGTCCTGGTGTTCGTGGCGCTGTGCGGGCAGCGTATGCGCCGGCGGCAGCAGCAGCGCGGGTATTTCCCCGGTAGGCAGACTTGATGGGGGACATGAATGCCGCGGAGCGTAGCTGGGGAACTTCCATTTCCGGAGAAGACATGAAGGAGTCTTGCCATAGTGGTCGGTCGTCCTTTGCTTTGCCCTTGCCCTTGGGGTCTAGGAGCGGGTGTTTCTTCTCAGTGACTTTCCATTTGATTGGGGATACGCCGCTTGCCTGGTGGCCTTTTTGTGGTGTTGCTCCAACGCGATAGTTCCTGTCTGGCATGCGGTGGAGGATGGGGGTCTTTGTTGGCTGTTCCGACGCGTTGTTGTGTTTCTTGCAGGTCGCCGAAGGGCGTGTTTGGGGCTCGATGGGGGTCCATGGACATGTCGGGTAGGCGGGCGGTGTGTTGTTGGAAGATGAGCTCGCTGTCGTCGTCTTCCATGGCGTCACCGCCGGATCCTGAGCCAAAACCGGGTGTTTTGTTCGCTTCAGCGGCGGCTTTGAGCTCGCGACGTCTGAGTTGCTCGTATGGGGAGTCGAGATTGGCAAACTGAGGCCGTGAAGGTATGGATTTGGTCGCTGGTGGGCGAGGAGTGCTTCCGCTGAGGTCATCTCCAGTATCGGTTAAGACGGAATCGTTTGTTGTGCGCTGTCGGGCCTGGTCTTGGCCTCGGGTATGCAATACAGAGGATTCATCTTCGATGGTTATGTCGTGACTGCGGCCGGCGCTCTGGGGGTGAGGTGTTCGGGCTGGGGTGGTTTGATCGTGCGCGGATGTTGATTCTTCGTTGCTGTTCAGAACCGTGGTTTCGTTGCCATTGGCAAGCTCTTCATATCCAGAAAGCGAGACATTGGCCGATGCCTCGAAGAATTGTTTCCAGAACTGAGAACACAACGGTTGTTAGCTGGGTGTTCGGGCGAGACGCTGAAGAGAGGTCCAACCTTGGTTGATTCCCAGACTGATTTTGAATGCTCGCCGTATTGCTCAACTAGTGGTAGGATATTCGTGGTGACAATGCGATGCGCTCTGCTAAAGTTGGAATCGATTTCTGGGACAGAAGGTCAGCAATGGCTTGTTTGTCGGACTTGTCGTGGTTGGTTGATCGGACCTTGCAGCGTCAAAGTAATGGACTGCTCGAGCTTTTCCAGCTCCTCCGTAAGAGTCAGCGGCCTCGTATTGGACGTCCCAGGGGGTGACATGTTCTCGGAGTGGAAATCGGCCGGTCGGATTTCGTGGTTGTTTTGTTTTGGTTGTGAACAGTCAAAGAGAAGTCCATAATGGCAGTGGGCTTGACTTGTGTAAGTTCCGGCGCGTCATGGGCCGCAGAGTCGCGTTGCGGGGCATTGATTGCTGGCCGTGGTGGGGCCGCTATCACAGGGGTCCCGGGATGTAGTGTAAGTCGAATACCATGGGCAACACCATCACTGGCCATTTATTGGACTTTTTGTATGATTCGTATTATAATGTGGTTCTTGTTTCTACTCTAACTATTGACAAATTTCATATCCTTCCTGGGTATCTAATCATGGTCATCATGTATCAATAAGCCATAGTCATCCATCCCTGTATGCGTGTTGGTCTTGTGATTCCCTCCAGAAAACACCAGTACGCCCCAAAATGCAGCGAGAAATAATAGACATCCACTCCGTTCTAGAAAGCCAGCTAACCAACTAATCCCGGCCGGCATCACCTCGACTGGACATACCTCGTGTCCGAGGGCCCGTACTTCGACTGGACATACCTCGCGAGCGAGGCCCCCTTCGACTGATAGTCCCTCGTGTGCTTGGCTCCGGACGACTGATAACACCTGGTGCACTTGGTCCCAGACTTCGACTAAGAGTATATGGTGTACTTGGTCCCGAACTTCGACTACTGGTATCTGGTGTGCGGGACCCTGTTCGACTGGACATACCTCGCGTGCGAGGCCCCCTTCGACTTGTAGTACCTCGTGTGCTAGCCCCTATACTTTGACTAATAGTACCACCAGTGCTTGGCCCCAAGCTCCGACTGATAGTATCTCGTGAGCTGGACCCGGGGCTTGGGCTGATAGTATCTGGCGAGCTTGGTCCCGGACTTCCACTAGTAGTGTCTGATGCGCTCGACCCAGAACTTCGACTAATAGTATCTGGTATGCGAGGCTCCGTTCGACTGGACATACCTCGTGTACGAGGCCCGCTACCTCGACTGGAAGCACCCCGTGCGAGAGCCCGCCCCATCTAGCGGCGACTAGGTCTTGATCGGCCACGAGCCACTGGTTTGGCCTTGGGAGCAGGGCGAGCTCTCGTTCCTCTTCCTGTTTTTGCTGTGGAAGCTTCGGCCTCCTCTTCGTCTGATCCTTCCTCTTCATCGCCGGACTCCTCTTCTTCGTCGTCCTCTTCCTCCTCGCTTTCATCTTCATCCGGCGACTCCTCCTTCGTCTTGCGGGCCTTGCTAGCCGCCCGCTTCGCACTCCGGGCTCCCCTGGCCGACTTCCGCACCGGACTAGGGGCAGAAGTCTCATTATCCGTGTCCTCCACAGTACTACTGCGAGTCTTGGTACCAGCTTCGGTGCGCTTGCGCTTCCTTCGTTCTTCGCTTGGCTCGTTCGGGTCCCATTCCGGTGGGCTGCTGGGCGGGTCGCCTGGGGGAGCAATCGCCGCTTGTAGCATTAAATCGCCGTAGTCGTCGCGAGGTAGGGAGAAGTCTTTGTAGCGCCGTGGCTTGCCCCATTCTTCGGGAGGGTCTAGGCTGTTCTCTCGCTCGTCTATCGCGTCCAGGTCGTAAAACGTCCTGAGTTTCGCCCAGATTCCCGGTATGCGCGTGTGAGGGTTCTTGAATGGGTCGAAGCCGTGGTTTCGGAGGTGCTCGCTAATAGCGATGATTCGAAAATGTTTGTGCATACCTGGAGGGAAGTTGAGTTTTAGCTGGGTCCTGTAATCGTACCTTTGTCTAGCCCTCCACTCTGGTTTGTGACCTACCCGCGGGCTTCCACTGAATCACACCCTTGAACAGTGAGGCGACCTGATCATCTGTCCAAGGATCGCTGGGGTCGAACTTGGGTTTCGGAGGTTGGGCCGCGGGCGGTGCAGGTACGGGTGTTGTTCCAGCAGCTGGGGTGTTAATGTCCATGGCATCGTCATCTCGTGGTGTGGCCGTTGCTGACGGCGTTGCGGCGGCCGTGCTGCTACGGGCCTTTTTCTTTGGGGGCATCGTCGTAGAAGGCAGATCTGCGAAGTTTGAGCAATAGATATTTGGGTATGCGGCCAAATCGGAGTAGCGCTATATCAATATGCTATGCTTTGCCCAAAATTTGCCAGGTCGTGGATGTTATGGTGGTTGATGTTCGGATGGTTGATATTCGGGTGGTTGATGTTCGGTACAAAGTTGAGAAAGGGAAGCTCAAGTGTTGGCTGCCATCAACGGCTTTCGAATTGGGAGAAGTTACTCGCAGTTGGTGTTCTTGCAAGGGTTAAAGCCATCCCGTCTTCAGTTGTTTACTTCAGCGGGGTTAGGCCTGGATCTGACCACTCCCGTCCCGTCAACTCGATGCCGCTTGTTGCTTGAACACGCGACCGGCAGCGCGACACGACAGACGACAAGGGACGATACATCGTCTTTCAAAAAGAAACGGAAGGGAGACCCTGAAGGACAGCCTAGGTGAAGAGAACCTGTCAATTCTGTGACTGAGCTGCTGAAGAACCAGAACTAGCTAGTGTGGTTCTTCAGGCTTATATGTCCGCCATTGCACTTTGTCACTTTCTCCCGTCTTTAGTGGCTCGAATGGTTGCGCATCAAGGTTCTCACTTGTTCACTGTGTGACGAATCCTTATTTTAACTACATTAACAACCTCTTTCACCTCCAATGCTGCCAGTATTGCTCACGACAAGCATCAGGCAAAATGGCTGAGGAAAGAGACACTTCTGCGGACCTCTTTGCAATTCCCAATTTCTGGCGGTCATCGAGGTTCTTGGATGAAGACAAAGCAGCAAGCCCTCTCTTCTCACCCAACTTGGAAATATCAGGTATGTTAATGCGATTTCATGTACGCTGGTGCACTGCATACAAAGATGCTAACCCCAAACCAGGCTCTTCTTTCCAATTCCTTCCATTCGGAAACCAAGACAAGCCTCCAAATTCTCTCAAACGCCCGTTACAAGACCAAAGTCAGACCAGCTTCTTCAGACTACCTCCTGTTTTGCGAGAGGCCACTCTCAACGATGAGCCACAGTTGTTAGACGATCTATTCTCCGAGGGAATTGGCAGTGCTGGAAATGGGAAGAAGGGCGGATCTCCAGATGACTTGGACGACGAGGAGGAGGATTACTGGCTCACGCTGGAAGACGTCGAACCCAAGACACCCGAGTACAAGTCCTGGGAGGCATTCAATCCGACAGATCACCACGGTCCATCCGATGTCGTCTTTATCAGCGAGGCCGGACCTGTTGCTTTTGACGCGCTCATAACCGAAATCCCGGACGATGGTACAGAGCCTGTTCCCGATATCCTCGACAATGCCTTGTACTACGCCTGCCTGTTAGGGCTGGCACAGGGGAGAAGCTCTATCCTATTCTGGTGGGACTCTGACAGGAGCTCGTTTGTTAAGACGGCACCTCACCTTAGGATTTCGGGTGTCTCTGTTCAGTTGATACAGAGCATGGACCAACTTTGCCTTGACTGTGGAAACGCCGTCAAGGCCCTGGGGTCCTTCTCTGAGTCGGCTTATTTCGAATCACCTACACCAACCAGCGTTGCCCTAGCAAAAGTGGTAGATCAACTGGTCCTGGCTGCCCAAACCGAGGTTGCTTCCCGCAGCAAGGCTGTCAGGTCCATACTTCAGCTGCGATCTGTTGTTATGCCGGCACACGACATCCTAATGCACTTCCATATGCTCAGCAAAAAGCTGACTCAAGAGAAAACGGAAGAGGGAATGCTCTCATGCCTCTTCCGCGAAGCTCAGGCCGTTGAGTACCAAGGTGGCCTACTACCTGAGGTCATCTGCGAAGTGCTGCGGCTTGCCTCAAAACCATGGATTGAATTTGTTGAAGAATGGATCGGTCTGAAGAATGAAACAGGCGCCCCAATATCCAAGACGGGTTCAGGGAAGTCGTTTGTCAAAGTGGCCGACAAGATGTGGATAGACGACCACGGCTTCGAGCTCGAGGAACCTGACTTCTTCCTAGACGAGGAAAGGATGCCTTCATTTGTGCCTCAAGACATTGCTCGCTCCATCTTCGACACTGGCCGAAATCTGCGCTTCCTCAAAGAGCACCACCCAGACCACTTCCTCTCAAAGCGGAACGTCGTAGCACTAACTCAACCACCCAAACTCGAATGGCAATTCTCTTGGGATGCCATAACAATGTTGGAAACGAGAGTCAATGAGTACAAGGCTGCGGTGACTCGCTTAGTCCAAGGGGCAGCATCAGGAGATCAGTTGTCGTCGACACGTCTATCCACTACATATGAACCGAACGAGTACAAACTTACATACTTTGGAAAGAGTGAGGAGGAAGTTGCGGCCGCTGTACTCGCCTCAATCAACCAGCTCGCTCAGCCTCTCGAAAACCACGAGTCCGACGATGAGCTCACCACCATGCTTCACAACCGCTTGTACTCGAGAGCAGAGCAATCCACCAACAAAGAGGAAGGCTTCAACCCACACTGGTCACTCGTCCCCTTGCTCTCCTTCGGGTCGCTTGTAGACACCCAGTCAAAGCTCGTTAACGATGAATGCATGAAACTTCTCCTCGGCCCTCACAAGCTCCGAGTACACACCAATCTCACGAGACAATACTTCCTCCTAGGCAACGGCATGCTCTGCAGCCGCCTTTCCCACGCCCTCTTTGACCCAGACCTCGAGTCCGCCGAGCGCAAAGCTGGCGTCGCTTTCAGCGGCGGTGTCATGGGTCTCCGACTAGGCGGCCGAGACACCTGGCCACCCGCCAGCTCCGAACTCCGTCTAGCGCTCATGGGTGTTCTCTCCGATTGCTATGAGCCGCCTGTCAGCGAGAAAGACAGCAACGGCCAAGAGGAAGACCACAACATGGGTAAATCCATGCTTTCCCGCACCTACAGCTCCGATCTACCCGGCGATCTAAGCTTCGCCGTCCGCGATCTGACTTCGGAAGAAATCAACAAGTGCATGGACCCCGACGGCCTAGAAGCGCTGGATTTCTTGCGGTTGTCGTACAAAGCCCCCTCAGGACTACAGTATATCATGACCCCCATCATCCTGCTAAAGTACGATCGCATCAACAAGCACTTACTCCGTATCCTGCGTATGTTATACGTAGTCAACCACCTCTCGCGCGACGTCCAACTACTAGCTCGCCGCACCCGCCTCAGCAACGCCACCATCCGCTTTTGTGCAGAAGCGAACCACTTCGTTTCCAAGATGGCCGCCTACTTCTTTGACTCCGGGATCACCACCATCTGGAACCAATTCGAGGAGTGGTTAGACTCGATAGAGGCCGTATTTCTCGGCGAGGAAGTGGCCGGCGCTGGTGGCGGCGGCCAGCGTAATACCGACGACCATCATCAACAAGAGCACTCCCTGAACAGCACGAAATCGTGCTCCCCCGACTTAGTCCGTGACAAACAATCCTACTGTCTAGACGAGATCATGTCCGCTTTGTTTATACGAAAACGCCAGACACCAGTCCTCAAGCTGCTGGAAGAGATCTTTACCATTATCTTGCGCTTTGCTCGACTAATGCGCTCTCACAACTCCGACAACAAGAAACCAACCGTCAGTGGGAAAGGCAAAAGCAAAGAGCAACAATCCAACAACAAAGACGCGGAGTACGCCAATGATACACCGGAAAGTCTTTATGCAATGTTCAAGAAGAACGTAGAGGTTTTCTTAACGGTGTGTAAAGGGTTGGGAGAGAAGGCTGCTGCTAGTAGGAATAAGGGGCATGGGAACGGGTTGGCGGGGGAGAGTTTGGCGGAGATCATTCCGCTGGCTTTGGATATGATGGGGTATTATGAGGGTGGCGGTTCCGGAGGGAGGAGGTATCAGGGTTAGACTCTTGTGTGTGTGTGCGAAGGGGTGAGGTGATGGTACCTAGGTATAGAATGAGTGGAGGATAAGATGTTATGGTGTTTGAGTTATGAACGGTTATGGAATGATAGAAGAGCGGCATCGCATGGTATGTCTATGTTCACAAACTCGTAGGATAGCAGCAGGACTGATACCCAATTTGCTGAACAATCTTGTTTTTTTGTGTATTTTGTGTTGAAGCTTGATGTGGTTTTGACAGAAACTGTTAGAGTTTTAGGACGGTTGTTGGTATGGTTCAAAAAGAGCTGACGATGTCTGTGGTTATCGCGGCGAACACGCTTTGGGACGCGAGAGACTCTTTGCTCATTTCTTCGTTCTGGATTTGAGCCTTTCATCCCGTCGACACCGTCCGCTTCTCGTTTACAGCTTTGCAAACTTCACCTTACTCTCATTCCCCTTTTGCTTTCCAAACCGGCAATTTACCAGCACTTCATTAACACATTATTAACACTTCACCGGCACTTGCACCATCATCAATTCATCATCATCACTTCACTATAATGAGACACCTTAATCACGTTGACCATGCTTGCTAAGGGGAAACAGCCTGTTCTTATGAATCCTCACCCTATCTTTTTTTTTTTCGCCTGAGCAGGCGTAGACGTGTCTCCTTGTCAACGGATGCCGTCTCCTTTCCTCCGATATGTTGTTTTTCTTATTTTACACTTGACACGGTCCTAGAAGCTTATGATACCTTGTTGACTCGCCAAGTTGGGGGTGTTCTTTCCCTCCCACGTTCTTTCCTTCCTATGTTCTTCCTCGAACAAGTTTTCTTTCGATCAAGTCCTTCCAGGAAGCTTTCCTCATCCATGTAGTTTCCCTTGTACTTGACAAACATCGCAATTTACATCATTCCTTGGCAGTCAAACCTGGTTCTTGAAGAACTTGTTCTTCACCACTCACTGCTTCCGTTTCCGTTGTCCTTGTCACTTGGACTTATTGGCATCTCGGTATTGAATTTCTCAAAAAGTCCAACCACACCTTATTTCTAACAATATCCGGTTGTCAACGACAAATGCTGTTTTGGGCTGTTCCTTAAACTTCCCTGATGCACGCCTTGCCAAGATGTCATGATGCTGCTGACCATGTTTGCTGGGAGATCGATCGGAGTCTTTCTTCTTGAAATACTTGCTTCTTCTTTGCCACCCGCTTCCCCTTCCCCTCTTCAGTTCTTCCATTGTTAACATCTCGATCTTGATCCCAACGTCCAGTCTCAAACTTCGGGTACACGTTCAAGTTAACCAATCTATTGGGAATCATTTATATCCATGATTCACCATTTACCACCCACCCATACAGGAACTTGTACCACATCTACCACTTCTTATTTCCCTCCCAAATCTAGATACCCGAGCCAGAAATCGGCAACTTCCATGATCGCTCCTTTCTTTCCTTCTTCCTTGATTGTGATGAAGTTGTGACTTTGGGGACAAAGCGGAGCCATTGCTCCGGAATAGACTCCGGCTTGCCTCCCTCTTCATACAAAGCCACCTACCTGGAGGTGACGAACTTTGCTTTTTCCCTCGTTGTTTACTGTACTTATCACTTGGCACATGTCAATGTGTCAATGTCACTATACCTAATCTGTGCGGAGCGAACTCCGCGCGGAGTCAAGCGGCGCGGACCCTGTCCAGCTACCTGGAGTTAGGTACCCTCCATCTCCAGTGTGTGTCAGCTCCATCGTCGTCGTCACCTCCGGTCGTCTTCCGGTAGGTATTCATTTTGCTTGGTGATTCACCATTTCCATCCCAGATCTGCGACAACTCGAACTGAAGCAGGCAGGAACTGAACCAGACAACTCTCGCTTATGAAAGCTTACCACACCATCCCGACTATCTTGATCAACTAATCCTGTTACACTGCTGTGGTCAAGCTGGGTAGTCTTTACACACCCTCCTTCCCTCGATCCAATAGAAAGGGACCCCCTTATAAGTCCCTGTTGATCACTTCACCTACACGTAGTAGTGACTATCGCTAATCTACTCTACAAACCCGAGCTTGCGAAGACGGTGAAATCTCTGCTAATGATTTCCTTCGTCTTCCTTTCTTCCGTTCGGCCATGACATCACGCATCAATGAGCCAGTTAGATCAATCCAAACAAAAACCTGGTAGTGAGGTTGTAGGGTCGGGAAGAGTGTGGGATGTAGGGTCTTTGAACCCCCCAATGTCTCAACATGAAAGATTCTTCCATGCGAAGTTGAGCAAATGGGGGATTTTCCCTTCCTAGCCGCCAGAACATGGCAAAGGGCATCACAGCAGGCCATACACAGGTATTGTCACTTCGTGATCGTATCGGAAGTAGCCGGCTGCTTTTAGCTGGAGGTAACAGGATGTAGGTTTCTCGTTCGTACTCACCGTGGGATACAATAGCAGTGTAACATTCACATTGTGCCATGCAGTTGGAAGGTCAGTCAGTCAGTTTAGAAAGTCTTCAAAGCCAAAGTTGTACTCAACTCCGGTCAGGCACCTAGGTATCCTAGGTGTGCATAGTATGGTAGTAATGTACTGGTAATGTACGATTCATCACTCTGCCACTGCCACTCTGCCACCCTGTCTACCGTAGGAGCCGTAGGTATGCTAATGCTACTACAGATGGACGCTATGCTATGCCATGCAAATCAACGGAGCAGCGGAGGTTTTCTCCTCTATCTGTAATTTGACCAACGGCAGCAAAAATGCGAGAACTGTAATATCAGAGAGCCAGTTTCCTTGTACTACGTCAACGAGGCTTTGCAAGTTCATAGGTTGACGGCAACAACGGTGATGACAGTGGCATACATAGCAGGAGATAGGCAAGCAGACAGGCATCGAAGCGTACGTAGTCAGTCTCCTAGTACCTAAGCTATACCGAACAAGGTAATGTTTTTGACGGCGCCTGTCTCGCCAGTCTCGTCTCGTCCGCCTCATTTTTTAATGTGCTTTGGCAAGTTGGGCTTGGGTTTTAGTTAGGTTCATCATTGCCTTGCCTTGCCTTGCCTTGCCTTGCCGTGCTTGCCTTGTCTTGCCGGTACATAGTCAACTCCCAAGAAGCACCAGACAAGATTTAGTTCTGACGGACGATATGCGCTGCGCTGTACACATTCCCGTCACTGTTGCCCTTGTGAAATGGGATTCGCTGATTTGCCCGGAAATACACTGCCTGTCTGGCGGCTTTCTAGTTTTTACCTCGGTGTCGAATCTGTCGACGAAACGTCGAATGTCCAATGTCGATCAAGGGGTTCTTGAAACTATTAGGTGAGCATACTACGTATAAACTACACCAACTGACCTGGCATGCATAAAGAGTCTATGGTAGGCTCTCGACATTTCCAAGTCATGGTCTTTTGAAACGCGCCAAACCAAATCAGAGAGGCATGAGTAGTAGTAATGTGATGGCTTCGGACTTGAGTCGGAAGATCCCCTTTGGTGGTGAAGTGAAGTGAACAGCTTTCCGTTTTTTTGTCTTGGAAATTCTGTTCCCAAATTCCCATTGGCGTTGACATGGCATTGGCATCGTGAGGAGACTTTTTTTTTTCTCTCCCTCCTCAGCCTCTCCAAGCGCTGTTACCATGTGAAATAGGTAACGTAGCAACGTCGTAGTTGCCTGGTAGTAGTAGAAAGCTTGTCTCGCTCCCGTGATCTGATTGGGAAGGCCAGAAGACCAGCAACAACGGCGCTAACAAGCAGCATCACTGCCCAGTCAAGCATTTCATTCAATTCAGTTGACCATTTCCGGGCCGGTTTCTTGTTGCCTGAATGCCGGCCCGTCAGCAAAGTCGTGTCAGTCTGTCAGTCAGTCAGTTAGTCAGTCACATGCTTGTCACTTATCTTTCTTCTGAGTGAAACCCCTCAAGAACATTGATTGACTTGTCGCCCACCATAGACGATGTCCAGAGTGAAATGATGATTTTGGGTGATTAGGGTGATTTCGCAGAATTTCAAGGACCCCCTCCGTCGTGCCAAGACAAATTTCCTTCCCAAACAACTCAAACGATTCATTTCACATGGCTGGCCCATGCTCCACGTCCATGTTCAAACTTGCCTTTTGCCTTTGCCATGACATGCCTTGAGAGTTCTTGACTTGTGAGAGATGTGTCAAAGCATTGTTGGCATGATGCTTTTCTTTCTCATGTGTGCCCAGCAAGCATCATTGTTTGCTCAAAGTTCATGCCACTCTTTCTTGCAACAACTCTTGTCTGCTACCGACAACGACTCATGGAAGCCCAGGAGTCAAAAGAGTCAGGACTCAGGAGCATCACCGCCGTAGTCCTTTCCTTTCTTTCCAGCCTGAATTGAATCGGGCAAAGTTGTCGTCAACCCAGGATCAAGGGTTCTCAAAAGCACACCAAAGCAATACACCAAGCAACGCCAACAGGCCCTAGCACAAGGGCCCTTCTCGAGGCCTGATACTAGCCACTCTGGGCAGTCTAATGAAAAGCCAGGCTACCACAATCACTGGCTGGCTGGCCGTCAAGGTTCGCCCTTTGGCGCAGCTGTGCTTCCCTTTCGTTCCTCTGTCGTCTCTTTGAGTTTGTAGCGAGCAAAGAGCGAGGGAATAAAAAAGACACTATGGTCATGTGGTGCCATTTCCCCTTCCCCCTTTGGCCCCTATCTGGCCGAGTTCCATGGTTCTGGGGTCTTGGGATTTGATGCGGTGAATGAGAGACGGCCTTTTTCGATTGTGCCAAAAGAAACGCAAAATGCTTGGCTCTTTTGGCTTCTTGTCTTTCTTCATGCCCCCAGCCCAGTGTCTTTGAACAGATTTCTGTAGAGAAACACATTCATAACGATGGGCTGTCGTCGTTGGAGATAGTGGGGTCTTATAAACCATACTTAACCTCTCCCTAGTGTGCAGTCAGTGATCTGATCTCTGGGTTGTTGTTGTTGCAGTGGTTGGAAATCCACAGCCCATCAGCGCTCGGCACACTCAACCGTCGTTCAGCCCCTTCAACGGTTCGCCCATGGGCTCGTGGGTGTCATTAAA